CTTGTGCTCTTTATGTGGTGTCAACTTTTGACCTCTTATATATAACTCGTAATTATCATCATTTGTATTGTTCGAAAATAAGATAGGAGTCGTTTTCTCTACCGACATAATAAGTCCAAATGGATTGAGCCATGAGTTCAAGGAGTTTAGATATTGTTGTATGTTCTGGATATTTTGTTTTACATCATGGCCTGATTCCCAAATTACGATGTCGTCTGCATAAATCAAGCTATGTATATCTGGTCTCAAAGGTATGTCACTTATCATTATATTAAAAAGGAGGGAGCTCAAAATGCTGCCCTGGGGTAAACCGTTTTCAGGATGCGTAATTGCCGATTTGGCATTACCTATTTGCACTTGAAAGGTACGGTTCAACAAGTAGTTTCTCAAAAAAATCAATATGTTTCCTTGGAGACCAATTCTACGTAACTTGACGATTAATCCTTTCGTCCAGAGAGTATCATAGGCTTTGGCCAGATCAATAAATACGACTATGGTTTTCATACCCACAAATAGATATTTCTGAATTTCATTTTCTAAATGTACTAAGTTATCTATTGAGCTTCTCTTTTTTCTAAAACCATGTTGTATACTACTCAAAATTTCGTTTTTCTCTATGTACCATTCTAATCTCTCCTTTACCATACTTTCTAATATCTTGATAAAGCAAGGTAATAATGAGATAGGTCGGTAGGATGTTAGTTGGGAGGAGTCTTTATTTGGTTTTAATATTGGTATCAACATTGCATGTTTGCATTGTTCCGGAATCGTCCCAGAAGACCATATTCTGTTATAAAGACAGAGTAATGTTTTCCTAGCCCTTGTTGGAAGGTTTTGAAACACAGTATATATCAAGCCATCTTCACCAGGGGCTGATGTCTTTTTTATATTAAGTACTTTTTCGAGTTCCATCATAGTAAAAGGTTCATTGATAACTGAATCATGTTCTCCTTTATAATCAATAGATTTATATTCATCTAGCAGTTCTTTATTTCCCTTTTTTGTTTTACTACTGATCTTCAGAAAATGCTTTCCAAATTCGTTAGCTTTTTCTTGATCATCTATAATTACTTTAGATTCTACTTTAAGTGCTGATATCTTAGAATGAGTTTTATTTGGATTACCCTTCAGACAACGAATCAAATTCCATAGTTCTGAGATTGAAGTGAACCTGTTCAGTTTTGAAGTGTAATCCAGCCAAAACATTCGTTTTGTCTGTCTAATAATCCTTTGGGCTTCGGCCTTCTTTTGTTTGTATAGTTTTAGATTTTCATCATTCCATACTCTCAATAACCTATTTTTATATTCGTTCCGTTCCTTAATCTTTATTTTGCATTTTTCTGTCCACCATGGGACGGGGTTGAATCTCGCATTCTTGTTTTTATTTCTTTTGGGTACAGTGTAATTCATTTAAGATATTATTTAGAGATTCCATGAAGTTTCCGTAAAAAGTTTTGACATCTGCGTCTAGCAGCGAGTCAGTGTCCATTCGTTGATCGCACAGTTTATTGAATTCGTGCCAATCTATCTTCTTGAATGACCGTTTTAGAGTTAGGTCATCTTTCGTACAATCTGATTTAGGAGTTTTTTTGTCGATTTCAATATATATTGGAAAATGGTCACTTCCGAATTTGTTTGATAGCACTTTCCAGCTAGTGGAACTGGCTAGAGCGGGAGTTGCTAATGATAAATCTAAACATGAGATTTCGCCAGTAGTTGGGTTTAGGCGAGTACCCGAGCCATCATTTAGGAAGACTAAATTGTGTTTCAGTAAATATTCCTCAATCACTTTTCCATTTTTATCTGTATTTTTACTGCCCCATTGAACATTATGAGAGTTAAAGTCTCCCAATATTAACATTCTACGTTTATTCTTTATTTCCTTTATCAAGAAATCTAGTTTATTCATAATTATGTCTTCACATGGATTATAGTAATTTATCACGGTTATGGATGTGTTGTCAAAATACAAATTAATCTGTTGCATTTCGATGTCAGTTTCTATGATTGGGTAATCATAATTTAAACTGTTGTGTACATATATGGCACATCCTCCACCGCGCCTTGTTTTCCTGCTTTTAGCAAAACATTTGTAATTAGCGATTTGTATTTTGTCGTGATCGCGGAACCATGTTTCCTGAATACATAATAAATGAATGGTTTCGCTTTTTATAGAGTTTAAGTAGAGCAATAACTCATCCCCGTGTCCCTTTAATCCCTGTGCATTCCACTGTAGGATGCGGAATGCCATCTTAGTTCCTTTAATTAACTCGCTTGCATTAATAGCTGACTAGCAGCTATCTTAATTAAAGACAACACCTCTCCTTCTGACTTATCTTTCATAATTTGGATCATTAGGTGAAGAAAGAAGGTTATCAATTCCTCATTTGTTGCTTTAGTTATAAAATTTTCCTTGATTTGTGAAGACGGTCGCCCTGTTTTTTCGCTATTTTGCCTATCTTGGCGTTGTGGCAAGGGAGGATCTGCCTTTGGGGTGTGATCCGGAAACACATGAGAGTTATCGACTTGGGGGGTGGGGTGGTTTTGCTTTACTGTATTTAAACCAAGATCAACAGATGGTTGGGGATTATTTGCGGTGTTTAGATGTTGTTGGTGAGGAGCTAGTTTACGTTCCAATGGTATTGGAGCTTGCGCTTGCATATTTTTTTTTTTTCTTCTTTCAATTGGCGAGCAGCTTGAGCATAGCTGAGATTATTCAGCACTTTTATCTTTTGTACTTCTTGCGCTTTTTGTGCTTGTTCGCATCCATTATATGCAGCGGAATGTTCACCTCCACAATTTACACATTTGGGAGTGTCCTTTTTTATGCAATCGTCGAAACTATGCTCCTCTCCACATCTGACACATCTCTGTTTCTGTTTGCAAATAGCTATGGTGTGGCCATATCTTTGGCATTTAAAACACCTGGGGCTTGAAGGTATATAGGGTTTGACCTTTATTCTTTGGAAACAAAGAATGATGTCTTGGGGAAGTACTGTAGCTTCAAATGAAACAATTACACTCCGAGTTGGAACTAAATCTACATGTACATTCCCATCTTGAGGTTCTTCCCTCTTTCGATTTTTCCTTACTATTCTTTTCACGTTAACTACCTTTTGACTCTTTAGTTCTGTTTCTATTTCTTTTTCTGACATCTCAGTCGGTATATCTGATATGACACCTTTCTTCAAATCAAGTTTCAAATTGACCTTCACTGGTACGTTATCAATGATTTGTATATCAGACAATTTCTTATGTTGTTTCGTATCCTTGCATTTAACGAGAATTCCGTTCCGGGTAGACTTTATAAATTCTGGCGATGAGCCGATACAGTTTTGGATAGATTTTGCGATCTTTAACATGCTAACGTTTCTTAATGATTTTTCCCTGTCAATAGGTGTAATGAAAAGCTTTAGATCTTGGTCAGTTGCTATTAGAATTACTGGATTCTGGTTACGAAATACCGAGTTTTGTGGTTCCATATTATCTGATGACGAATCCTCTTTTAGTGATAGGTTCTCAACATTGATACTTCCTTCACGTATCTTTCTTTTTTTTCTTCGAACACTTGCAGACGTGACTGTCTGGAATCCGTCCTTTAGCTCTATTCCTAAATCTTTGGCTTGGTTGCCTGAATCAATATCTGCCATAGCGTTAAGTGAGGAGTCGTCGGGGTTCATGGTCCGCGCCGCGTGCGGCGGGAGATTTAAATCTACTTTGATTTGTTAACTTATTTATGGTGCAGAATTATGTATAAAATGAGCCCAAAATGTTCGCTTACCTTTAGCAAGTCATTTCCTATCTGAAACTAGAGTCGAAAGTATGGAAAGTCCCGTGAAAATCCGATAAATATCCAAAAAAATTGCAACAAGCAACAGACAGACAGCCACGTGCACCGACCTAGCATCGGACCAAAAAACAAAAACACGAGACTGACAGAACTAGACTCTGCTCAAGGCTTTAGGAATTGTTGTAAAGTGTCAAATTAGAGTCAGCACCATGAAGAAAGAGTAGTCAACTAACATATTCAATATAATGTAAAATTGTAGTTCATATTTATTTACTTTTTACAGATATGCAAAGTTAATCCCCACATAAATGTGGATGAATTGTGAATGTGAATGAGAAAATATTACAACAGTCAGGTCTCTGTTACAGTAACCAAAGAATAACTTAGTATTTTACACTAATTTTGCAATTTTTTGGCAAAATCTCACATATTTCACATTTATTTATACAATCCATTTCATATTTCCATTACCTTTTAAATCCTCATAACCCTATGCTGCTTTTCTATGGTTCATCCGTCTTATGCACCACAGACAAAGAGAGTATTGAAATTGAATACAGCATAACCATTGTGGGCTGACATATTGCCTATAGGCCCAATAGCATCGTTAAAACTTTAAAGGAAGTGGCTAAATTTGATGAACAGAAAGTAAGACATGAACCTGTTGGAGACCTGTAGAATGTTTCACAAAGACTAAGATCAACTTTAAGTTGGACTTAAATATGGCAGGCTGTTCATGCCACTGTTATCTCTCACCATTTACTGGCATTGGTCACAAATCTACAGAATTTATATTTGTTGATAGTTCATTATTGAAGGAAAAAATATCTATCTATCTAAAGATCATATCCGGTAATGGTGAGAGCAAATAGTGGCATGAATGGCCCATCATAGTTAAGTCCAACTTAATATGATCTTAGTCTTTGTGAAACACCCCCTGGAGTTGTTTCATGACAGTCATATCTTTGTCCGCGACCTACAGAGTGGTCAGGAAATGGACAACCTGTTTCACAAAACCATGATAAGCGACAAATTCATGATTTCGATATTCCATCAGATCTTATCCTGAATTACCTAAGAAGTCATGAGGCTTAATTTCACCCAAACTATTTGAAAAGGTAAAAATTAAATAGTGTGGTAGCACAAACGATAAAAACATTCAATTTGCATGAAAACATGAGCTAATAATGATTTTTAGTTTCTTCTTCAATTTACAAAATTGAGGAAACTCGAGGTTGCTTTTGCGACGAGCGAATTAAAATTTGCGAGTAAGAGCATACCATAACTCATACACAATCTAAATAAAACCCTTATTTTGTATTTAGGTAATTTTGCCGCCCCCAACTCTTCATTCTCTATTGTTTTAGTCCTAGACCCTATCTAAGAAAGAGCTGGGATTGATCCAAATCAAGTCCTCCAATCAATTTTAAGTTGCAGTCTCCTTTCTCTTATGTACATACACTGTAGTTACAATGGATATCAAACGCAAATGAGTTGCGATTGATATCAACTCTTCATAAGACGGGGCCCTGAAATAGCACAAATTATAAACAACAAGGGCATTTCCTTGGTCCCAGAGTTTGTTATCATGAGGCTCCATTGTAGTGAGTCTGCCAACATGGCTTCACTCGATGGTTCCATCTTGCTTCCAATGAACATTTAAAACAGCCTCTTCTGAATTGTTCTGCACACCGATACTTCAAACAGCAACTTTAGCATCAAAATAACTCTTTGCGGGACATAAGGCAGAGTTGAGAGATTGACTTATTCTTTGTTAGAACTTCTCATTTCATCGTTTGTTGTGTTGCAGATCCCTGTTGTAAAGGTTTCTGATCTTGTTGCCCTGTTCTCATTTGCGAAGCCATTTGTTGCTGTTGCTGCTGTTGTAGAGACGGATGTTGTTGTTGTTGCTGATGTGGATGTTGCTGAGGTGGTAAGGGTGCCTGCATGATCCCCGGACCTGCAGGCTGGTTAGCAACTCCACTTGCAGCCACACCACCGGTAGCCCCTGCAACACCTTGTTGCTGCTGTTGCTGGGCAAGTTGCTGCTGCTGTTGTGTGGTCTCCAGATGGGACTGTTGCAGCCTCATACGCCGTCGGGTATAGTGTTGCCAGTGCAAGAGCTGCTGATCCTCAATGAACTTGACACACTGTGCGTTGGCTAACTCTCTCCTAAAGTGTTCATACTGCAAGAGCTCCAAGAAATGCAGACACTGAGGAAATCTGAACACCACAAAGAGAAAACAAAGGATTATTCCAGTATCAGCTTATGAAAACATACCTTAACACTCCAATTAAAGATTAAATCTATATCATACACTAATATATTATAATTAAACTAACTCAAACTAAGGTTTCAAAATCAACAAGAGAAAATATAGAGAGGCAGAGATTATAATTCTCAGGTAGCAAATTTCTGAATATCTAATCTTTCACTCTCATTTAAAGCTGTTGCCAATATTGATGTTACTCAGTACATGGACCTTCCTGCTACCTTGTTCTTCATTCAAATAAATTATAAAAACAGTAAAACAAAACTTTTATATTAATGCTATCTAATCATTCTTCAGTCCTTAGTTTTCTATTCACAATTCTGTCAAAATAGTTCAATTGTATGCTTTTTAAGAAGAATGACTGCATCAAATTAATCAATCTTAGAAGCAGAAAATAAAATCTTTGGACGATTTGCAAACAAGTTCTCTGAAGATAAGTGTTCTATTAATACATTCAAATCCAAATCATTCTAGACAGAAAAAAATAATAAATTGAAATAAAATGTAATACTGAACTGCTTTTCTACAAACTTTAATTGATAACATTCTTTACTTTTGGAGACAATAATGATCTAAAATAATCCAAGAAATTTAGCCAACTTTAAAGCAATTATTGTGCAGTTGAAAGAGAAAATAGCATCTCATTGAACTAGACTTAATACAACTAAAATACAATGATTCTTACTTAAGGTATTTGGCATAGTTAGGCTCCTTCCAGTATTGAAGATAATGAAGATAATTCACAAACTTTTTATCCTTGAAGTAACCTCTCTGGGCAAGAACTGTAAGGTAAAAACAGAATACAGAATAGAAGAGGAGGGGTTGTGGATGAGAGATGGGCAAAAAATTACAAATAATTTATGCAAACTGATAAATCTCATCTTTATGATGTAAATCATTTTATTCTGATATAAATCATAATTTGTCAATTATATTACATGGAATCATGAATATTCCTTTTTTTTCCTTTAGTTATAAATGTTCCTGCGAACACTTTTCACAAAAAAACCTTAGCACTTCTGTACAAAATAAGGCTGCGACGGGTAGTCGAATGCTCGAGTACCCGCACGGTTGACAACTACTCGGGTACGATTTCTCGTACCCGAATATTCGGCCGCAAAAAAAAAAAAAAAAAAAAAAATTAAAAAATTAAAAAAAATGTCCAGGCCCACGCTTACCCGTGCCAGGGAGAGTGGCGTCCGCTGGCATGGTACCGTCGGCAAAAAATGTTTCCCAACTCAAGCACTGTTAAACCCACCTTTCAGAAACTGGGACCAAATGTCCAGATTTCTGTTTGGACTTGGAGGAAAATGGATTATTCTGCCATCTTTGGTTTTTAAAACAGCATTGTTTACTGTTATTATTCTTATTAAATCGGCGCCTTCAACTGCAACTCAAAGTAAAGTTGCATGCGTTTTCAGCGAGGGACCTGATAAACTGCCGAGTGGTATGGTAGTGGCAAAAAAAGAAGAAAAAAAATCAAAAAATCAAAAAATCAAAAAATTCAAAAAAAATCAAAAAAATTCAAAAAAAATTCAAAAAAATTCAAAAAAATTATAAAAAAACATGGCGTCCAAATATTCGAGTATTCGCCTGTGAGCCTGGGAGTGTACTCGGGTACCTCATTACACTGTTGAGCACAGCCCTAGTACAAAACTACAGTATGAATAGGCAACTTTTCTGACCCACAAAAATGTGATTGAACATTTTGTTATCTTTGCTAAGCTAAAGAATTTATTTTAAAAAAAAAGGATTATTAACTATGCTTAAAACCTATCAAACTATGCCTAAAGTTGTGGACTAATTCTTCCATGATGTTTGTTACTGACTATGTGTTATTTTAGGGAGAATTTCAGTGTTACCCTTAAACAGGTTACAGAAAATTACTTACAGTTAAGATAGTGAGGGTTAGCGAGGCACTGAACAAACTCCAACTCCACTTCAAATCGAATCTGCTCTGGGTCCTGTGGAGGTTCCATCCCTTCATAGAAATAAAGAGATAACTAAAATGAGGAAAATGTCAAGGTAAAAATAGTAGCAGAGTACATGTGCAAGAATCAAGATAGATTAGATGTGTATGAAAAATAGTTACTGCATGTAACTATGAGGATTATATTATTCACTGTGGCAGTTAATACCATTAACGGTAACAGTTAGAACTCATGCATTGTAGGAGTGAATATTAGCTTGATTTAAATCTCTAGTCTAACTTAGTACTACTTTAACAAGTTAGAGTAAAGGAGGGGGTTTTCGGCCCCTCAGCAGTTTTCGGCCGGTCCGTTGGATGCATGGTAAAATCCCTATAAAATACATTGCATAATAGCATATCACATATACGTCACATACCAGAGTCACTGAAGAACCACATTTGCAGTAGAAAATATATTCTTAAATATCCCATTTTAGCGATGTAATCGGCAGTCCCGCTACCCAAATCTGAAAAATTGAGTATCTTACGCGTGTCTGTAAGGAATATGGGTACCATAAAATGAGCTGTATTTCAAGTATTTTTCTGATTTAGAGCCCGATTTTGTGTGAGTCGCAAGCTCAAAAGTATCTCATCACGTGTATTAAAATCAATGCAGCCGGATACCGCAGCGCACACACGATATCTCTGTCTAATTCAGATTCCAATTTCTGGTCACCGCAGAGGTAGTTTTCGGGACTAGGAGCTCCGGTGCGGGATACCTGCTACAGCCGCTAGTGCTATAGATCAGCGGGGGAACGCACGGTGCGCTTGCTTGCTTCCTATTGACTTTGTACATGCGGCCGAAAACTACCTCCGAAACAGTGAAAATGGAAATGAATATTGTCATGGCAATTCATGATTTTTTTTTTCTGGGATTCTTTTTTTGTTTAAATAATAATAGTATTTGCTTCATGATTTGAACCAGAAATGATAACAAATAGGATGTAAAGAGTCCAAAAAATAGGATTTTGTAAGTGGCCGAAAACCCCCTCCTTTAGTCTAGATCTTATACAAGTCACAAATATTTCGGTAGGAGGGACTGAAGTGAAGTCCAAGTCCAACACCAGGTAGATCTAAGGATTATGCCTATAAACAATAAATTTCTACCAAAAAAAATAAAACAAAATATGATCACCTTCACCCGACACACCACAACTATCACGACCACTTTTATTTTTTCTAGTTTAGTCTACATACCTTGATTTGGATGCTGTGAATTACCTGCCAAAGTGGGCATTGCCATTTGGTTTGCTGACAAAAGATATATTTTTAATAAGACCCTCTGCAGCCCTCTACGTCAAGAAAATTCCATCTGAAATTGAATCACACATTTGACATTGACAGAATCAAAATTCGGATGAAACTGGGAATAATGCGTTAAATTGAGAAGAAACTGGTTTAGATTGGAAATTGGAAATTTAGTTGTGTAATTCCCTCACGTGGAGGAGATGAAGTTGCTCAAGCCGCCCTGGGTCAACCACGATGGTAAGCAAAACTTGACAAAACATCCAATTTCAAGCAGTGCAGTCCCACTCGCTTAGTAAAGATGCTGTAGGCCTATAGAGTTTTGTGTTCTTTCATTTATGCGCAAAAGCCAAATATACGCGCGTAGCGTTGCACATTAGACTAGTACTAGTCAATGGTCAGGGTTGCCTAGAATTTTTAACTTGTTAAATAATAAATCATTTGTAAACTGTCGACTATGATGGTATAGGAACACTTTAGAAATACGTAGAAAGAGAAAATGAGAGATGGAGAAGAACGTCTGCAGAGAAAGAGATGTGATGTGGAAAGAGAAAATGAGAATTGAGACCGAGATGGAGATCAGCATCGTTTTGTACGGAAGTAAGAGGTAATCCTGTTAAAGCGTGAGTGGTACTTGTTCTAACTTACTCATTGTGAGTGCATGGTGTGTGGATGCACATTTAGTTATGGCAAAATTGGGTGTTGGGAGGACCAGTGTTATGTTTGTCCGATCTATTTTTAAAAGAATTGAGTGATGGTGTGGAGACTACAGATGAAGGAAGACTACATGAGAGATAAAATAAGTCTTAAGAAAGAGAGGAGATGATAGCAGGACTGATATAAATTAGTAGAGGAAATAAAGAAAGAGAAGATGAGGATAGAAGCAGAAAAGAATAACAAGAAGAGATGGAAAGAGAAGGCAAAAGAAGGATAAAGTCTTAAAGACAATTAATAACACAGTCGCAAGAAAGATAGAAAGATAAGGTGGTAGAACCGTAGAAGGATGAAAACAAGGTCTAAAACATTAGGAAAGATAAAAAAAATGATAGCATTGATTTGAAGTACTTTGTAGTATTTTGTGTGCATATCATTGTAAACAGTTTTACCTAACATGTTTTCATTGGATAAAACGTGTAAGTTAACAAAAAAAAATGATTTTTTTTTTTTTTTTTATGTGCTTAGTTTGGTGGCAATTTTACAGGATTCTTTATTACCTATAGTTCTCCTTGAAAATGCTCTCACATTTGCATCCATTTTTCAAGGTCTATCTTCAGATAACTTCTGTCTCTCCCTCTTCCTCTGTCCCTCCCTCTCTCATTCTCTCTCTCTTCACCCCCCCCCTCACTTCCTCCCTGCCCTCTCTCTCTTTCTCTCTCTCTCTCCCTTCTCTCTCTCCCTTCTCTCTCCCTCTTGCATCGCATGGTACCAATCTTAACTCCAAAGAAATTCACCAGAATTTATTGTTGTATAATTGTGCAGGAAAGCCCATCTTCGGGATTGACATTCATCCAGATGGCACCAGATTCGCTACAGGAGGGCAAGGTAAAAAGGGCCATACAAATTATGCATTTCAAAACAGCATTTGCTTTGGAACTTATATCTTTTATTAAATTTATATCATAAAAATTAGAAATGAGAAGACTGCCGTACTCAATTTCTTCTGAATGAATATGGATATGGTTTTAAAAATTGTTTCTGTACTCTTTTTTTATTTTGTTTTATTTAATGATGTTCACTACTGAATTACATACATGTGTAGATGCTTTTTAGTTGAAACAATAAGGTAAAATGAAAGCAAAATATATACGACAATTTCATTTACTATAGGCACTAGGCAAATGAAAAAAACATGTGCAAATATATTTATATAACCTGTGTTGCTAGTTTAATGTATTATTGTGTGTTTCAAGTGACAACAATTTTCTGGACAAAAAATTGGAATAATTTGAAAATGTTGATAACTTCATAGATAAGACTTTTTAAAGATGCAATCTATTTGGTCATTTCATTTGTTATTATACCCCATTTACATGTTCATAAAATACTTCATAACCTGGATATAATATTTGTTAAACATTCGTATTGTTCCCTCAATTCTATGTTGCAATTAAGAGAAGATGAAAAGAATGATTCAAGCTGAGGTTTCAATCTCAATCTCTATTAACAGGTGATGATTCAGGACGGGTCATCATTTGGAACATGGCTCCTGTCATTAATGAGAAGGATGAGCAGGACGAGAATGTTCCGAAGCTGCTATGTCAGATGGACAATCATCTTGGTTAGTAAAATCACAAAGTTCAGCTATTAGATTAAGATCATTGTGAGGTATTATTTCATCTCAGTACATTTAGATACAATGAGCTGAGCAAATTTATCATGTAGTCTCCATCTTTGAATGTTCAACAATGCGGTTGCCTAATTCCAATGTTAGCTCCATGGGAACCCTGATGATGTCTTTTTACTCATGATTTTCTATTTACCATCTACAATGTTTCTGCTTTGTACCATGTCTGGCCAAATGTTGTTGTTTTGATTATTCTGAATGATCAAAAGGCAAGGATATTTTTTTAAGTATGAGTATCAGAAAAGTGAATGAATGACTACGCAAAAGCAACTTTGCTACTTCTGTTAACCTCTCATTTTCAAGACTGCTACTCTAAATCGTGCACTGCATCTCCATACTATCGACTGTTTAATTCTCTTGACTTTGCTTTCTATACAGCCTGTGTGAACTGTGTGCGTTGGTCTAACAACGGTCACTACCTAGCCTCTGGAGGAGACGACCGTCTTCTCATGATCTGGAAAATGATGGGGTAAGTTGATCAGCGAAAGGCTTGCACCTAGAATTTATGAATAATAGGACTTTGTAGATTTCAAGGTAGAAGTCTTGACAATTTTCACACTGATTTGTAAAAAGGGGAGCAATTACCTTATAATCTGAATAAATGCATGATGTACAGTCAAACCTGTCTATAACGACCGCCAAGGTATACACAAAAGTGGTCATTGTAGACAGGTTCCTTTAGTACATGTTTCAATGAGAAACCATTTTCAAGGGAAACAAAAATGTGGTCTTTGTAGACAGGTGGTCACCAAAGCAGGTTTGACTGTTTATCACTTATCATGCAAGTGGATGTTAAGATATGTGATATGACCCTGGCTTTGTATATGTTCAGTTTGGGTTGGTTGGTTGGTTCGTTTGTTTGTATTACCTGACTGCTAAGAGAAGCATGTGAATGCTTGTAAGTAAGCAACAGGGGAGGTTTCTTTGTATAAAGATGTTCAGTTTCTTTCTGGAAGTGAAAGATTACAGGTCTGGAAAATGATGTGGAAAGTTGATAATGTGTGCGGCATGCAAAAATAATTGTGCATAAATGATAGATCCAGACTTTATAAAAAGGATTTTGTTTAAATTTTGTTTTAATGAAATAATTTGAAAGAGGGATTAATCATACCATTTTGATAAGTATACTGTGCAACTAGATGTATGGATGTGTGGTATAAGGTATCTAGCCTTTGAAATCAATTTGTATTCATGTTAACTTAATCTTTTTTCTTCTTCTGAAATTGAATGACTACATGTATCCTGTTTTGTTATTTCAGCTTGTGTTATTTCAGCTTGTGTTATTTCAAATTTGTCATAATTGGTGACACAAGACCCAAGACTTGTGATTGTCATTTGTACTTTATAAAAATGTAGATAATTTCTGTGTATTATGTCCACTATCTGACCATGTGCAAGGTTGTACTAGCAAGTTTACTGTTCAATTTTGAACTTATTTTTTTTTATCTCCATTCTCTGTATTTTGGAATGTTTTGACAGGACTGGAACATCGGCTGTGTTTGGTTCTAGCGTGAGTAACGTAGAGCAGTGGAAGTGTTCACATGTACTCAGACATCACACAGGGGGTAAGCTCAAAGAAAACCATTAACTTATTTGACAAAGTATCTTTACTGGTTCTTTATGGGTATTAGTTAACTTTTCCTCTGGATTTAGCTCATACCGCAATCATAGTTATAAACCTTTTAGGTCAGAAATTAATCCCATGACTTTTACAAGCCAATCGCATGTTTGATTATCAAGATCTTTATGATTGGACTTTGAAATTTCTAAAACCGTTTTCCCAACATCTTTTTTATAACACTACAGTCTATCGGGGAAAATGAGTGTGGTAAAACCGGTCACTAAAACTAAGAATTTTACTTTTTGAAGCGCTATTCTTTTAGGTCTTTCAATATTACACCATATCACAGGCACTGATAACATGTAAGGTCATGCATCTCAGATTTGTAAAACTGGAACCATTGTTAAACAATGCATTTAACCCTGGCCTGAGAATAAGTCTTGAAATTTACCAGCTATATTGTGATATATATTTCTTGTCTATTAACTCTATATACCCTACACAAATAATTGCCCTGTGCCATGTTATATTCATCATGGGATAGATACACCAAAGGCTTCAAGATTATTTAACTGTTTTCAGAGTAAGATTAATCTACACTGGTGCTAAAACGGTTGTCATTGAGCTAAGCAAAAAGGACATGAGTAGTTTTCCAAAGCCTTTGTGTTGCATACACGCCATACAGCAGTACCTCCCTCAATCGGTGCCAATCGTTGTGTGCAAATTTGCATGTGCGGCTAACCAGCGACTGCAGAGAGGCCATGAAAGCATCCAAAGTGTATGAAGAAAATTTGAAGACCATTTTGAACAACACTGCCTATAAAGGTTTGCCGTTGCACTATGATGCTTTCACTCTGTTGGGGATGTTTCACAAAGACTAAGATCAACTTTAAGTTGGACTTAATTATGGCTGGCCATTCATGCCATTGGTTGCTCTCACCATTACGATCTTCAAATAATATTTTTTCCTTCAATAATGGATTATCAAAAAAATGTCATTTTCTGTAGATTTGTGACCATAATAATAATTTAATAATAATAATAATAATAATATTTTTGCTTATATAGCGCTTAATACGATGGGAATGTCTGAGTTTCTAAGCTCTTTACATTGTTATCCCGGTCATCAGATTCTGGCTTGCCCGCACACAATGTATGCACTTTCTCCACTCCCTGGGGAGCATTCCAACAAGAACTACTAGGCTAATTATTTGTACATCCTTTGAGAGACCAATGCCAGTGAATGGTGAGAGCAAACAGTGGCATGAACAGCCTGCCATAGTTAAGTCCGACTTAAAGTCGATCTTAGTCTTTGTGTTACACTCGCCTGTAAGTGAACCGATGAGACTCTTGGTTGATTCCACCTCACTACGATCCCTTGTTTGATCCCTACAGATGTATTAGATGTTGCTTGGTCTCCTTCTGACCTGTGGTTAGCCTCCTGTAGTATTGATAATACCGTCATTATCTGGAATGCTGTCAAGTTCCCTGGTAAGTTCATTTTTTTCATTTTTTTTCTTCTTTCATTTTCAACAAAATACAATACATAAAAACGAATACAATGTAAAATGTATACAAAACATAGTTACAATTGTAAGAAACAAATCTTGACAATAATTTATACATTTGAGGAAGACAAAAGTTGAATTATAAATTTAACTGCATTTATATTTTGATGAAATGGAGAGGTCCACTGAAAAGCAGAGCTTGTAAATTGTGGACCCCTTCGTTGATCAAGACGTGTTGACCCCTTTCAAACCTCTCCCTTTGAAAAAGTTTTAAATCCATGAGGATGCGATGTTGTCATTTTCTGAGATTGATTATTGTAAATCCATTTTGAAAAGACATTTTTGTGATTAGTACAGTATATATAAGAATGAACTGATCAGCATACATTGAGAAGTGTAAAACCAAAGACTCTCATATGTTGTTAAAGGTATTACAAAGTTTTGGGAAATTTTGAAAATTGGGTGGATAGTGAATCTTTACAATTTTGATATATTTGGATTCCCCTGTGGATGTATAATAAACACTAAAAAAATTAGCCCCTAAAACACTTCTGTTTTCGAGAAAAATTGAATATAAACATTTACATGTACCGGTGCTCCCGGTAAACTTTGATAAATTTCAAATAGCGTCTATGGCCGTACAATGGTAGCTGCGACCATGAAAATCTCAGAATATGTAGTTGTGATATATAATTTCCCAACGGGAATAGCTAATCAGTCGATTTTAGTCAAGAAACATTGTTTCATAGCTAAATTAATATCTTGACCTTGGGAGGGAGCTATACAACATAAAGAGTTTATTATTTATAATTTCATAACTTTAGACTCGATTTCAACCGCGACAACGATCAATGAATATTGTAGGAAAGTATATGCTTCCAATATATTAATTTGAACTAAATTCATGACCCCATACCAAAACTTTGTAATACCTTTAATGATGGCCATATTATGCGCGAATGTTTGCAAATTACAACAAAATTTATTGTTGCGTCCATTGTGATTCAATTATTTTGTGGCATGAAACTTTTGCTATTCTCAACAACTCGCGAAATTCTCTAACATGCATTTATGCAAAAGTTTCTTGTTATACAGTATATTAAGAGGCTGTAATGTCTAAACTAAGCATTCATTATATGTTTCAGAGTAATCACAGAAAATCCTTGATCATTAGATCATAGGGGAGATCATATTATTGCCTCGTTTTTATTGTTTGAATGATTGTAAAAAAACAGCAAATTGCTGTTCTTGATCTGACGGTTTCATATGCATTTTAAATAAATTCCATGATGAGGAGCATTTTTTTAAAAATTTATTAAAATTCTACATTCCATCTGAAATGAATTGTCTACCAATGTCATCAAGTACGTGTACTATTTATTTCATTGTTTCATTTTGTTTTGTTTTGTAGAAATGATAACGGTGTTAAAAGGTCATTCTGGTCTAGTGAAAGGAGTCTCATGGGACCCCATTGGAAAATATGTTGCATCTCAGGTAAGGGTGATGTTTACAACAGGGGAGGGGAGTAATGGGACTACTGATAGAAGAGCAAGTTTACTAGTTTGGTGGTGGTGATAATGGTAATGCTGATGAGTACTTTCTCTGCTTTCATGGGAGTTTAAATGTAATAGTTATAATGAATGAAGGTCAATGTTTTTGACCTGTATTTTCTTTCTTTTATATCCATTATTATTATCAATTTTATTATAAATTCTCAATTTATACAAACACATACCCTAATTAATTCTCATGTTGTATACAATCATAATCAAATATTTTACTCATGAGCTTACTTTAACTTTTTTATAATGTATAATAATTTTATTGTTATTCAAATATTTATATATCAGAATCAACAGTTCCTTTGACTTTGTGTATACTATTTCTACCACTGTTTATTTGAAATCCAACCTCAAGTTTTGGTTGCAATAAAGAAATAATAATAATGAAATTTTTTTTTTAAATGGTTTATTGCATTTGAAATTAGCTTGCCAAATTACGATTACTATTTACTATTACAGTGAGGTTTGTATAAATTAATAGAGGTATGCAAAAGATTCATCTGGCTTGTTTTTTCTTCTTCTAATAGTCATTGTAATAGTATTCTTCTTTGATTTTGTTTTCTTTTGCAGTCTGATGACAAGAGTGTAAGGATTTGGAGGACGTCAGACTGGAAGGAAGAAACTGCAGTATTCAAACCATTCACCGAGGTATGACTCCATCTACCCCTCATTACACATAAACCCTCATTACGTCACTACAACTCCCTCTTCCTTCGTCCCTTCCAATGCACAATCTGCATTGTGATGCTAGTTCCATAGTTCTGTTCCTTTCACCTCTTCTTCTATCCTTCTCCCCACCCGACCCTATCTTTACTCCCACTCTTCTTTCCTCATCCCTCCTTTCACACTCCATACTTTCCTTCCATTGACTTTCATGTTTCCTCATTGAACTTCTCTTGAAAGAAACAACTATTAATTTTAGGAATCACATTTCTCCTTTCAGTATTTCCCTCTATTATTAGTCAATCGATGCCATAAATATGACAATTAGGAGCTTTATTTAACCATAGCTACATCCATGTCAACATCACTTTTGTTTTTTCTAACTAATTAACAGCTCATACCTATCGATAATGCTTGTCATAGTGTCAAACTAAAACATAATTATTGTTAATCCATAACATATCTGTGCTTTATACATGGTTCCATATCTTACTGTGTTATCGTATTGCAGTGTGGGGGTACAACCCGTGTGCTAAAGTTATGTCTTTATAATTCAATTCAAATTTATTCATATTTCAATTTCTCGTTCCATTATCATATGTAAGTGTGGTAGTATAACCCAAGTGCTAGAGTCATGTTACCGGTATTGTAATTCAAATAAATTTAATTCATATTTCATATTTCAATATCTCATTCCATTATCTTATATCAGTTTGGAAGTACAACCCAAAGTCATGTAATTGTATAAATTCAATTCAATTTAAATCATATTTCAATTTCTCCTTCTATCCTATACCAGTGCGGTGGTACAACCCATGTGCTACGTCTGTGTTGGTCACCCGATGGTTTCTACCTTGTATCCGCCCATGCCATGAATAACCGTGGACCCACTGCTCAGATCATAGAGAGGGAAGGCTGGGAACCTACCATGGACTTTGTAGGGCATCGCAAGGCAGTCACATGTGTGGTAAGGGCTGAGCTTTTTTCTCTTTGAGGAGTGAAGAATCCATATTTGCCACAGATGATGTGTAAATAGAGAACTAAAAGAACTAAAAAGAAAACTTTTTGTTAATCTTTCTGCACTGTGTTGATAAAATTATGACAAATAGTAAAAATTGATGCTTAAAGTTAACTTTCATTCTGGGCAAGCAATGTTCCTGGGAAAGAAACTATCTGGAAACAATTTCAACAATTTGATTTTGTAGTAAATAGAAATTTTTGTATACTGTGAGGATTTGAACTCACCAAAAAAATTAAAAAATTGACTGTCATATGCACTGCTCATAGAAATGTGAGGTGGGACTAATCTCATATTTGGCATGAAACTTTGGTCCAAAATGTTCATACATTTATCTTTATATATTGAATAGGAGAGCATTTGAAGAACAATCCCCTTCTTTCAAACTGACATAAAAAGAATGAAAGAGCTCACAAATTAAGAGCTCACAGAACTGAACCTTTGTTTTGATGTATTAAAATGTTGATATACCAAAAAGATTCAATTATTGATTTTAACAAGAAAATTATGTGGACTTTTAATTGCATATGATCAATCATTTTATCATTCATCTTACTCTCCATTTTCTCTCACAGCGATTCCACAACAGTATCTTCACCAAACCGTCCAAGAAGAGTACCATTAAGGTAATCAATAGCTTTTTTTTTTCATGACATGTGTTTTAAACATAACTAGCCTTTAGATAAGTGTAAAGAACCTTGTTCTAGATGGAGACATAAACACACACATTTTAGCTCTATTTTGAGAATAGCACAGAACAATCGAATTGATGTTAAAGTTATCTGATACCTTAAACACTCAGTACCACAGTCTAGATGTTATATGTTACAGGGAAAAAATTAATATTTATTTTTCGGGGGCTACTTTTCAAGCTTGCCTGCATAAAAATAACACTCTAATATTTGTTTTGCATTGAACTCTATGCAAATTTACAGGGGCTCTTTTGGGCATTTCAGGGGCAAATTCGCCCAGAATATACCTCTAATTAAAAAGTGATCTGATGTACCGTTTATTAAATTGAAATAATTTTGAGAATATCACATACCAAATCTTCTATAGTTTATCAATTTAAACATCTTAGAGATGTATAATAATAATTTGTATTGTGCAGCTCAAGTGCTATTGCTATACCACACTTTTGAGCATGTGGAAGAAATTCATATGTGATAGATCGATGATCTTTGTAACATAATCTGATATTAGATATAAATATTGATAAAAACAACACTTATATTTCATTTATTTCCATTAAATTGATATTTCTGAAGTATTTATTATCTCATATATTTTATCTCATTGAACTATTTATCATATTTGTACAACTGTATATTTATGACTATATGTTATGCCCTGCTTTGGCAAATTCATCGTCCTGGGCCATGTATGCTACATTGTGATATATCTCTGTATATTTACAATCAATTTGCACCTCTGTCTATTTTGATAATGAAATAAATGCATAATTGAGTATTATGTAAATAAGATATTAAATTATGAAAAAGGGAATATATATTGTTTTGTTCCATTGTGTGAACAGTGATGTTGTGAGAAGATTGAGCAGTTTAATAACAATCATTTTGTTTCCTATTACCATTTCACTTGCAGGCTCATAATTACAGTATCTGTGCTATTGGTAGCAGAGATAGAGCCATATCTATATGGGTAAGTATGCCATGAAAAGAAATCATGCTTAGAGAAAGATCTCAAACTGTTGAATTGTAAATGTTTGTATTTTATTTCTGTTTTCCTTATGATATTCCTACTCTTTCATGCCCCTAATCTTCTAGATCTAATGCCTATTGGTATTACTATTTATCATTTTTCTGAACACCTATTTACTGTACAGGCGCAAAAAGATTTGATTTCACTCAAATCCAGACAAAATATGTTTCTATTATTAACAAAACTTTTCAAGGGTCCTCTCTATCAGAATTTTTTTTTTATATTAGATTTGGTAAATTTGAGAATATTATGAGTAAATGTAAAAATAACCTATTTATTCTTCTTTTTTTGGAACCTTTGTATTTGTTCTTTTACTCTAATACTTTGATTATCATTTTTGTGTTTTCCCTCTAGATGACGTCACTAAAGCGCCCCTTAGTTGTCATCCACGATCTGTTCTCCAATTCTGTCATGGATGTTTCATGGTAAGATTAACATCTTGTTACAAAAATAATGTCTTTACTGTGCCATACTAAGCACATCAACCCAGTAACCTTATCAACATTTTTGTTCTTATGTATGTGAATTAATTTTTCTGAGTTTGTATTGTTTGCTTCTTTTGGGGGGTCTGTTTTTAAACATTGTATATTTTATTGCTCTATAAATTTTGCCACTCCAGTCTTTCATCAAATGACAAGTAACCTTGAATCAAGAAATTATTACTGAATTAAACAGAAAGTAAGAAAATACAGCTTTTCCATTCACTTTGCTCAGAAAACCCTTTGATTGTTTGTTTTCATGCTTACAGTACATCAGATTACAAAATGTCATGCGACTCTTTAATGCTAATAAATACAAACAAATTGGAAGAGCCAAGGTTATTCCTTATGTTATCTCTTGTTTTTTAAATTTCTTATGTATTTCATTGTTTTTTTAACTTATGTATTTTACTGTTTTCATTGTTTTATTTCATTTCTAACTACAATTCAACTTTTTTAACCCCAAAACAATCACCTAAACTTTAAACAAGACCAAATAACCAATGTTATATCTCTTTTTAGGAAAAATTAAAATTCAATATGTTTTGTACACAAATCACAAAAATTAGTGATTTTCGGGCTGACATGCAAAGACAAAAGGTCAAGTGACTTTGTAACTATGCGTTGGATTTTCAAAAAAATTGTTTTAAAAGATGCGTAAGACTCGAAAGAAAAACGTTATATCTGCTGTGGTTCTGGAGTAGTCGCTAAATTACTACAGCGGGAGTCAAATTGACCCCCCCCCCCCCAGTTAAGATAGGGTTAAAGAAAAAAGTCTATGTACTGTGTATGGCTGATATTTTGTCCTATATTTCATCTGTTCCAGGAGTCTATCTGGAGGAGATCTCCTGGCTTGTTCCTGGGACGGCACCGTGTCCTACTGTCAGTTTGATATGGAAGAGATAGGACGGCAACTCACTCTTGAAGAAAGGGTAAGATACCACAGCAGAATGTCTTCCGTGTAGTGCCACCTTGCTTAGTCAAGACCATGGGGCAAATGATTACTTGCTGATCAGGACCCTGTTTCACAAAACTAGTCATCAGTGACAATTGACAGTTTTTGTTATAAGCTACTGAAATCCTTGCTTCTGATTGGTTATCAGCAGATTTGTCACTGTTTTTTTTTTTTTTTTCATTTGTCATTGAAAAAGGGCTTTGTGGAACAGGCCCCAGGGCTCTGTTTCATTAAAAAAATGTTATCAAAAGCAAGTTACAATAACTGTCATAAGCCATGGAAATTATGGCATTTGATTGACTGAGAGCAAGTGTGTCACAGAAATTTGGAATTTGTCATTGATGAAACAGGGCCCAGAATCATCACTGCTCATCATGCCCTACCTGAAGTGTAGGATGTGATATTGGTTATGCTCATTACTTCTAAAGATCCATGAGGGTCTGTATTGGAAGCGAGTATTGTCCAAGAGCGTTGCTTCCAACACCATCGTAGAGAACTCTGCTATTCTACAGCCAATGCAACATCCATCATTTTTGGTGCCTCTTTCTGCCCCTTTCTCACGTTCAGTTCTTTCCCTCATTCCCCCTTAGAACAAGATCCACGAGGGTCTGTATGGAAAGCGTGTGTTGTCCAAGAGCCTTGCGTCCAACACCATCATCGAGAATCCTGCCATGCTACAGCTGATGCAGCAGCAGCAGAAGCAGAAAGAAGAGGAACAGGAGACTGCCAAACAGATGGTGGTCTCCGCCCCTACCAAGAGGAATCTTCCAGCTAACAGCGTGATGGAGGGGCAGCCGATTGTAAGTATTCTGATGGATGGTAGTGATGATGATGATGACGGTGATGATGATAATTATAAACCTGCCAACTGTTCCAATTTGATCAGAATATTATGATTTTCTGAATTTTTAGGGCCTAAAAAGTCTGAATATCCTGATTTTTCAAAATTTTAAATGTTTTACCATGTGCCGCGATTTTGAGAGTTCGCGTATTGCGTGCGTTGAATGGCTGCATGATCGAGCAGCGAATTTGTATTCCCTTTTTTTTGTTCAGATTTACCGCGTATTGCCATTCGAAGACGTGAAAAGTGATAGTTGAAAAGAGTTTATAAAGTGGACAGTCGTTTTGAAATTGAACAATTTCAAAGTTTGAAAGAATTTCAACCAAACTTTACGAAGCTGATTGAACCTTGTCTCACATTTGCAATGCGGATTCAATAGATAAGAAAAATCATTCTTGAGTGTCATACTCAATTCAATCAAGCAGAAACACGTCTTCATCTCGTTTAAACCATTCCTCTTTCATCTCCTGCAGGATGTAAAGAGAAGGCAGATAGAGACGAGAACCAAGGATGGAAGAAGAAGAATAACGCCAATCTTCATTGCTCCTCAACAATGCCCAGTGTAAGTATTATAATAATAACAATGGCTCACATTTATAATGCGCCTACGGTAATACTTTATTTTTAGGCGCAGTACATATTATTACCCCGGTCATTGGTTTCAGGCTTAGCCGCACACAATGTATGCACATTGTCCACTCCCCGGGGAGCATTCCGGTCAGTCGCCATTTTACAAGCGCCACTTGCTCATCCAACCACATCAACTTTTGCATCCTACTGGGTACCCATTTAACACCTGGGTGGAGAGTGGCAAATTTATATTAACATCTGGCAAAAGGACATTAGTGCCGCGGCGGGACTCAAACCCTGTACCTTGCGATCTGCAGTCAGGTGACTTATCCACTAGACCACACCACCTCAACCCGATCTACTAACAATACTAACAACAATATGTAGGAGAAGATAGGGAAAAACATAGCTGTCAGATTAGAAGCGCTCAAGTTTTGCATTTGACAGTGACTTGAATAGTGCAATTGTTATATTGCTTGAGAGCACAGGATGAAACACCTTTCAAGGACAATGGGTTTTGTATCACTCACTGAACTTTGGATCCATGTACAATCTACCGGTATGTCTGGGGGGTGTTTCACAAAACTTGTCATCAGTGACAAATGACAGTTCTTGTTATAAGCTACTGAAATCCTTGCTTCTGATTGGTTATCAACAGATTTGTCACTGATTTTTGTCATTTGTCATTGAAAAAAGGCTTTGTGAAACGGGTCCCAAGTTTTGTCATATGCAGACAGATTCAGATGTCAGAGTCCTTTCGTTTCTCGTCACCAATTGTGATTAATTGCAAAGAAATCATTGTTGGTATTGTTATAAGCTACTGAAATCCTTGCTTCTGATTGGTTATCAACAGATTTGTCACTGATTTTTGTCATTCGTCATTGAAAAAAGGCTTTGTGAAACGGGTCCCAAGTTTTGTCATATGCAGACAGATTCTGATGTCAGAGTCCTTTCGTTTCTCGTCACCAATTGTGATTAATTGCAAAGAAATCATTGTTGGTATTGACGTAGCGAGATAAACGTCACTGTAGTGAACTAGGGATGTGTTGCATTGTTCTGTGTTTGAATCCCAGCTTTGACGCAACTCATTGCTCTTCACCTGCTATGATTATTTGCAAAGAAATCATTGTTGGTATTGATATTGCGACATATACATCATTATGGTGAACTAGGGATTTGTTGCAGTGTTTTGTGTTTGAATCCCAGCTTTGACGCAACTTTCTTGTGCTAGGATATTGATTAATGCTTGCCACTGTTCAACCAGGTGTAGTAGATCATACCTGTTCGGAAATACTTACTGAATGTGTGATGGGTAGCTTGGATTCGAGCTCAGCTGAAGCAATGTAAATACTTTAATACTTTTATATGTACATTTAATTATTCCTTGGTATATGTGCATTTTAATGTACACACTATTGTATAATTTTTATAGTGATATGCTGCTATTTCTTGCAAGATAAATATTTGAAAGTAGACAGACATTGCCTCAATTACTTCATGGAGTGTGGACAGATATTCTATTTACCATGGTATTGACATAGAACTATTATTTTGACCATACAAAGAGTCATACTCCCCATGTCTTTGTAATGGGGGGGGGGGGGGGGGTTCCCTGCTCTGTTCACGGTGCTCACAGTCTAAGCACCCGCATAGCCTGTCTTCACAAAAAATGAACCTGAGAATTCAAATCGTTAAACATGAAAATACCTTCAGGGATGATGATATCATGATGAGATGATTATGATTGAAATGATGATGATGATGGTGGTGGTGGTGGTGGTGGTGGTGGTGGTGGTGGTGGTGGTGGTGGTGGTGGTGGTGGTGGTGGTGGTGGTGGTGGTGGTGGTGGTGGTGGTGGTGGTGGTGGTGGTGGTGGTGGTGGTGGTGGTGGTGGTGGTGGTGGTGGTGGTGGTGGTGGTGATGATGATGATAGTGATGATGATGATGATGATATCATGATGAGATGATTATGATTGAAATGATGATGATGATGATGATGATGATGATGATGATGATGATGATGATGATGATATCATGATGAGATGATTATGATTGAAATGATGATGATGATGATGATGATGATGATGATGATGATGATGATGATGATGGTGGTGGTGGTGGTGGTGGTGGTGGTGGTGGTGGTGGTGGTGGTGGTGGTGGTGGTGGTGGTGATGATGATGATGATGATGATAGTGATGATGATGATGATGATATCATGATGAGATGATTATGATTGAAATGATGATGATGATGATGATGATGATGATGATGATATCATGATGAGATGATTATGATTGAAATGATGATGATGATGATGATGATGATGATGATGATGATGATGGTGGTGGTGGTGGTGGTGGTGGTGGTGGTGGTGGTGGTGGTGATAATGATGATGATGATGCTGGGGATAATGATTGTAGTGATGATGATGATGGTGATTATGATGTCAATGATGATGATGGTATAGATGATGTTGATGATGATGAACTTGATGTATGTTACTTTGATTAGCATTCCAGCCCAACATTTCCACTCAATCTTCTAGTATTGTATTTCATGACAGGGGTCCACCTGCTCCGTTCACAGTGACCTCAAACTCTGCCTTCACAGTAACAGTGAGCGGAACCAAGGATGAGTCTAGCACAGCTTTCAAGGAGAACAGCGACAAGACCCAGACTATCAAACAAGAGGCTCTAGAGAAGGACCAGGAACAGATGGAAAGTACAGGGACAGACAAAAAGGTACCCAGTTACGTAGATGTATCGTAGTGGAGCGATTTAAACACTTGACTGAACATGCGAAGGGCGTAGGTTCAAGCCCTGGTACAACACTTGTGTCCTATTTCAAAACAATAGGCTACATTTGCCACCCTTCACCCAGGTGCTTAATGGGTACCAGTAAGAAGAAATTTCTTGAATGTAGTAAGCAACAGAATTGACCTAGAGTTTGGGTAATATTGGAGCGGCTTGAGCACTTTGTGTGGTGGATAAGAGCATTATTGGAATAACCAATATTATTGAGTCGCATCGCTGAAACAACTCCATACCAAGCTATAACCAGGCCATCTACATTAAACGAAATGGAGTTAAGTCTTTTGTCAACTCTGTTTGTTGCTACGGCAGGCACCCAGTGAAAACTAATTCATTCAAAATTATGGAAATACAAGCACTACTTTAAACAAACAAAACTTTGTCATTCCTTGCTCATTTTTCCTGATTGAGGTGTCATATGAAAGGGCAGAAACTTAACTTTCTAGAAATTTGATTTTCCCCTTGAAATTCAGATACCGACCGTCAAATGTCTTTTTGGTTTCCTCTCTTCAAACTCATTTTAATCACTCATGCGGGAAATATGTATTATATGAGTTACATCAAATGAAAGAGAAGGATCTAAGCTTTCCAAATATGTGTCATTTATCAATTATAAATGTGATTAAGTTATGATAAAACATCAATAATTCTTGGTTTCGTTTTTTCTGGGATGCACTGTATATAGAATGATATGGTTTCTTTTGTTCCATCTGATGTAATTCTTCTTGTTGTGACTTAGATATTAGTGACAAAGACTTTAGAACGTGCCAACTAGCTACATGTACATAGTTATTGTATTCTATATTAATTTTCTGAACACCAGGTAATGTTTTCTTTTCTGAAAATGTACAAGAAAAGCATAATGGAAAAATTAATTGCACTGGTGCTGTAAAAAGACACCATATGTCATATGATTCCTCACATTGTATATAAAGGGCCATTGTGTTTCCCTTGACAACAGACTTCATTTTTTATTTATAACAAGGCATAACTTGCCATAGCTCCATCCCCCACGAGTATCCCAGGACTACACAGATATGTTATTATGTGCCACTTAATTGATGACAGGAAAGTTGGCTAGATTTGTCCTTCCCCGAATATGGTTAATATTAAAGAAATTTATTTTTGATGTATATTTGTAAATTTAATCATAGATCAGACATCGGTATGTAACAATTGCCCAGTTGATTGTCTAGTTAAGAGTTTATAATTATCATTGTTTTGTTTCATGTTTTCTCCTCTAAGGCACCATCTGCACTAGACTCTAGGTTTACAGAGAGAGCCAAAACCCCAGCAACAACTCCTACAACTGCCAGGTAATACTTCATTCTCTGATCTCAACAAAATCTTATTAACACAGTAGAATTGTAGTTACAGTTAAAAGTTTCTGTATAGTTTCAAAATATTAAAATCATATCATTTCCCATCAATAATCTTCCATTTTAAGTGTATTTTAAGATTAAGTATGCTGTTGTGATGTTGAATGTGCTATCAGCTTTGATATGCTGTTGGTAATAATTAATCAAGATAGAGTTTGTGTCGTGATGGAGTGGATATATCGCAGGATTGCAAGTTTAATCCCATTCATAGTTACCCTAATAGCAAACAATTCCTAGAGTGCCTCATCTCATAAAAATTGACATGCAGTCAATTGTAAAAACTTGTCGTATCTCTGATCTTTTTGCAATTAATTATATGTTACCATGCGTTGTATCTCTCTGTAACACAAGATTACCGGTAATCAGATTTTACTATTCATTAGAAAGTTATTTTTTATTGGTTAAAGGAAAAGCAATTAATTTTGGGGATATCAATTTAATCATCAATTTCTAAGTAACAGGGCCAAGCTTTGCTACAACAAGGTCAACAGTGATGTCATATGAGCTCTCCAAACCAATTACTATGATCACTATTGTTAATAATAATAATAACAATCATATTTATAGGGCGCCTAATATAGGCGTTTCTATGCACACAGGTGTTATTGTCTAACTCAGTTTAATTATTCAACATGTTCAATAGCTTAAAAGCAACGAAATAAAATGTTGGTATTTTTCTTTTGATTTTGTACTCTACAGAACCGATGTCTCCTCAAGCTTCTCAAAAGAGATGCAGTTCACAACGCCGGTAACTGTCCACGTTCCGCGAAGGAAAGAGGCAGAACCAACCCCAGCTCAGGGCCTTATTCCCAGCACTGCTGCATCTACAGCAGCCCCAGCCTCCGCTCCACCGGTGGTCAAACGAAGCAGAGGAAGGCCCCCTGGGTCAGGGAGAGCAGCTGTGCTGGCTGCGGCAGCTGCGTCAGCTGCTGCCGCCGCCGCTGCAGCTCGGGCTACACCCCCTGGTCCACAGGTGAGGGATGGGAAGGGGTGGAGGGTGAAGGGAGAGGAGAAGGAGGGGGAGGATAATGATGATCATGATGATTGAGATGTAGATGCTGGTGATGAAGATGATATTGATGGCGATGATAATGATAATCATAGTGGTCGTTAGGATGATGATGGTTAGAGACCTTATAAAAAAATGATTATTTGCCAATTAATCAAAAGTCACATGATGTAAAGAAAATGAAAAATATAAACAAATTACTTTGAATTGTAATGTTAAGATTTATAGGAAGAATGCTGAAAAATATTACAATCAATGAACCGATTCATAAAGATAACCATGGTGCTTTATCTGTTGTGAGAAATGGAATGACCTATAATAATATACCGTACTTATATAGCGCATATCACATGATATCTCTATAGCCCAACTTTGGAAATTGATAGTGACCCATTTAACATAATCATTTTCTCACTTAGTGATAAGAGACTGTTGGCTCATGTTTTCTTATTTTTAATTGGATTTTGCTCCAACTCTTACTGACCTGTTCCTCTCATTTTTTCTGCTTCTATTAAAACCAACTATCATGGTAGACTTTCCCTTTAAGATAAGAAGTTGATTGGTGTAGGACATTAACTGTGGAGCATGTGTCAAACTACCATCATTTTCTGTTGTGACAGGGTGCACCTGAGAGGGACACATCCCGATTGACCGGCAGACGAAGCTTACAGCTACCCACACCGTCAGCCAATAAGACCATCAGTACTCAGGTCATAGGCAAGCAGGCTGCTGGAGAGGGCAAGGTCACCATAGAGGTCGATAATGAGGTCACCGCTGGCAGTAAGTTCCAAACGTTGTTTCCTTGTTTGCTTGAGATGCTGATGCTCATGTGTATTAAAAAGGATGATACAATGTTGTAGTTGAAACACATTTGCATGGAAAGGTTACTTCGTCATTTTCACCAATGCATGTGAAGCGGGAATGGTCGCTGAGCATGAATAAACCCAATCTCACTTACCGACTTTAGGCGTACAGAGATACCCAGGCATGAATCCTCCAATAAGAAATCAAAGTGCTCCAAATATTGCACTATCCTCAAGTTGTACACCACAAAATCACCACAGATGATATCACAGAACTATACTTGGCCAGCACAAGCGATGTTTAGGAATCTTCTCTGAGTGAATTGCAGAGAAATATGGTTATGAAGATTCTCCAAAATATGATGAATTAGGTTAGAATTGAAATAGAAGTAATTTGCTCCAAATTAACGTGTTGCCTCGAGAAAACTTTGAGAAGTGTGATGATGAGAGTTTGAGAGAAGATGTTGTTTTCATCCTTCTTGGGAAACTGGATTAAAACAAAGAGAGTACTATACCAATTCCGGGAAGCGAGAGTGAGTCACTGGTGATATTTGCACTGTCCAGTGCCAAATGGCCCCATTAAGCTGACACTTGTTGACAAATATATAGGGGTGGCAGTGCCTGGTATATGTCAGAGGGCGATGTCCTCCCAAATCCATTTGGCAAAATAACAAGTGACATTGAGAAAATGAGGAAAATACTACACATGTATGATTTTCAGTTGAATTTGGATGATATCAGTTATTGTTCATATACCGGAAAGGGAAAATTATAGTTATTTTCATGCTTTGTTCATCATGCATGTGGATATATGTGCTATCAGTATTCAGTATTCTCCCAAGGTAATAGAATAGAGTATATGAAACGTGGTTCTACCGATACCGAGAGCCTTGAGGCTTACAATCTACATGCTTTTGCCTACGGTATTCAGAAGTCTTTCTTTTCTTTTCCTTGGCATGTAGGGCTGACCATTCAGAAGCTTCGATGCATCAAATCTGGTCAAACTGTTTGGGAGACCATCCTAACCTGCAAGGCTCTTTCACTGGTTGCTAACAGGTCAGTCATGTTCTTTTTCTTTCTTTTTTATCGGAACGGAAACATTAACCAGAATTTAAATTTGGTGACATTGGCATTGTAGTTAGTGATTACCATTATTGGGTTTTATCAGAGGTTTTAAAGTTGGGGGATCCCCTCCTGCCTTATCACCTTTGACATTTTGCGTCAGATTGTGGTTTTAACAATGTATCAGGAGATGCCGGAGACTTGATAGAATATCATGAAACCACACTATGAGATCTTCCCACATTGCAAAGTGAATTAATGTCAAGTTTCTTGGGGTTGCGTCGGCCATCATCTAGTCTTTTCCGTGTTGATTGTGTCACTGTAAAAAAATATATGATAATAGAAGAAAAGACAGTAATAACGCTATCGTTTTTGTTCCCTCAAGAGGTTGATTTTGATCAACACGTATGGATAAAACTGATCAGGAATAGAGGATGGACAGGAGGAGAGGGAGACTAGTGCAATGTTAAAAATGTGAAATGGGACATTCTTACGAAACTAAAACACATGAGGACTATATAATGACTATCTAATGACTATCTAATGACTATCTAATGACTATCTCATGACTATCTACTGATATCTAATGACTATCTCGTGACTATCTAATGATATCTAATGACTATCTCATGACTATCTAATGACTATCTAATGACTATCTCATGACTATCTACTGATATCTCATGACTATCTCATGACTATCTACTGATATCTAATGATTACCAGATGATATCTAATGACTATTCTAATGATATGCATTTTGTGTCCTCGAGAGGTTGAATAATTAATAAATGATGGAGCTTAGGAGAGGGAGACTAGTGCCCAGTGCAACATGACAATGTGAAATCGGAAATTCTTATAAAAGGAGAACACATAAGATAATATAAGGCTGTTTGGAGAAGAAAGGGATGAAATAACAGGAAAGAAATACAGGACACATTAGAACAATCTGTCTGAAAGAGTTTAGTTTGTGACAGTTAAAATCTTCTTTCTCTCTTTTACCCCCTGTATTACCCTTACAGTAATTTCATCTGTGTCAACTGTGAAGACAAGACCTTAGGTGTGTATTCACCCTCAGGACGTCGTCTGCTGCCCTCGTTAGTCCTCCCATCCGTCGGTAGCAGTATTAAAATCAAAGGGTACCACATAATGGCTATTAGTACCTGTGGCAAGCTGTTTGTATGGTGAGTTTAGATCTCTGCTGTCAGACTTTCAAATGGTGGTTTGTGTTAGGTGCTACTTCAGTCATAATTCTTAATGCTGTTTGGATTTGATGCTGTTAATTATTCTGAATTGATGCACTCTTGTAAGAATATTATAAAGAAAGAGAAGCAAGATTTTTCCCCTCATAGCACATATCAGCCAGGTTTATTAAAGTTTTTGTTTTTAATTTCTAGGATTTGATAATTGCAAAGAAAAAGAAAGGAGAATGAAATGTTGGCGAATTGGACAGCAAATTCTTTCTACAAATTTGACTGTTGTGCAATTTAATTGGGAGTAAGAATGGTTCTTTCTTCCTGAAACATATTTTAATGTATTCATTGTGAAGTCAAAATATATGAGAAAGACTTCAGAATAAAACAAAGAATTGAATCCAGAATTTGACTTATGAATGTTAATGTATGGCGATTATTTATGTACTTGTTGAAAATGTAAAGGATTTTAAGAGGTAGCTCAATCTATGCTGCACATACAATGCCTGAATCCGATGACCGGGATAATTAAAGCGCTTAGGCAAATCGTTGTATCAATGTATTGGGCGCTATATAAAAGTGGAATATTATTATTTCGTGATGTCATTGAAGGAGTAAAGAAGTATGAAACAAGCAAGAAAGAAAAATTCCGTTTTTTTTTTAACAAGCAGATTGCATGAAGTGCTTTTGGTCGTTGTAAATATTGTGCAATTGCGAACAATAGCCAGTTCAAGTATTTACAGATAATTGTTGACAACTGGGCCCGTGTTACAAAGAGTCACGATTGATCCCAATCAATCGTAAGTCTTCTAATTCTTATGTACATAGTTGCGATTAAAGGTAAAGACCAGTATTGGAAACGCCCCAATTTCAAAAAATGAAATGGAAGCTCTCATTACCAATCATGTGAAAGAATATGTTTTGACTAATACATGATGATAAAAAATTTGCCGGGAAACCGCCTACTAATTCATATATTTGGTAAATTTGTTTCTCTCATGGTCTGTGAGAGATATAGAGTAGTCCCATATACATCTTTCTGTGTATAGTGCTTGTAATTTTACAAAGAATGGGCCAAATTTCTTATCATTTTGATGATTCCAGAACCTTGCAGATGCTAGATGCTAGATGATCAACCTTTTCTGATCGATTCCACAACGTTTCTTTCACAATGCAATCGCATGACCATAACTGGTCTTTACCTTTAATACCATCATTAATATTTGTGAGAAGGGGCCCTGGTCACACCAGCAGGCCCTGTAAAGGAGATTCCCAAATAGACCAATCAAGTTGGTTTGTGCCTGATAATTCAAGGAATTCATATTTTCTTTATAAGAATATAAATTCATATATATTTGTGTTTGTTTCCTCTCCTAGGGATGTAAGGAAACAGCAAGCAGTGGTGAACAAAGTTTCTCTGGAGACTATTATAGGTATGTACTACAGTCAAACCTGTATAGAAAGACCACCTGTCTACAAAGACCACATTCTTTGTTTCCTTTGAAAATGGTTTTCTCATTGGAACATGTACTAAAGGAACCTGTACATAAAGACCACCTGTCTACAAAGACCACATTCTTTGTTTCCTTTGAAAATGGTTTTCTCATTGGAACATGTACTAAAGAAACCTGTACATAAAGACCACCTGCCTATAAAGACCACTTTTTGTGTCTCCCTTGGGCGGTCTTTATAGACAGGTTTCACTGTACTTGAAAGGAGAATTTGACTCCTGAAAGGCCATGTATGGGCATTGTTTAAAAACTTAATGACAAGATTTGCGAATATCTGGCCGCACCTAGTGGGATGCTGATGACTAGAAAGCTTGGAGAATGGCCATTGAGGAAATGACACGTCCACCTCCATAGCATGGGAAAAAAAGACGAAGAACATTAATGATGGATATCATTTAAACCACATGAAGTTTGAATAGTCAGATGTTACACTGTATCTAAAAGAAATTTCATATTTTTGTAAAGATTTTCTGATAGAGCAAAAATAAATACTTACAAAACAAACATAGATACTAGAGATTTAGTAACATAGACATATATATAAAAATATATAAAATATAGATACATTTCCCTGACTTGAAAGGGGGGGGGGGGGGGTGAATTGAATTGGTTTAAGAAGCTTACTGCCTTTGTATAATTTAGGTATGCCCATGTTAGTTCTACTATGTAAAAGTGTTTTTGATACGCTCTGCTCTATATGTCATATCTTTTGGTTTTGTTTTCAGAGCCGGGTATCTCTATCTCCAAGTCGTTACTGACGGACCAAGGTGTACCTGTGATTGGTCTGTCGAATGGAAAGTCTTTTATGTATAGCAACCCAATGTGCTGCTGGTGAGTATATCATCTAGCCAAGGCAAAGAGTCCTATAAGGGCACTGTTTTATAAAACTTGTTTGTCCAACAAGAAGTTATATTACTGATATAAGCTCCTGAAATAGATGACTTTTTTAATTGCCTGGGAGCAGATTTGTCTTAGCTTATTGGCAGTTGTTATTCATGGCAAGTTTTGTGAAAACAGGCCCAGATGTATTTAATTGATCAGTTTGGCAGTAGAAAATTAAAATTGGTCCATATTCAGTGTTTTTTCATGATATTGAATGGATTATTTTCGCTATGCAGTTACAACCATTTTAAAAGTTGGATCAATCACACAGGTTTCTATTAAAAGTCAGTTGGCATTCACCTATTTACAGCTTACAAATGAAACCTTTATCTTCATTGCCTAATGATCACTGTTTGAGATTGTTCTTACATACTTATGCAACAGAGCCAAAGATGTTCAATGTGTTGACAGTTGGACTTTTTTATTCTCAATTTGATCCAAGTTTCATGACAGAACTGTATTCAAAAGCCAAGTTGACATATTTGCTTTTCTCTTTCTCCCTCTTAGGTTATAAGTAGATCATAAAGAATATATATATTCTTCTATTCTCCACGTAGGTTATTAATTGATCATAAGGAGGATATATTAAGATTGACATCAGACCATCAGCCATGTCAACCAGCTCAAACTCCATCTCATTCAGGAGGTCCTCTCTCACATGTACAGGGTGCACAACAAAGGTGAGAATAGCCTCTAAGAGTCAAAAGGGCACTAACGCATTACTTTGTACATGGAGTTAGTGCCATCTTGCTCTAAGAGCTGGCCTTACATCATAGTTCTACCCGGTACTGTTACTTAATGCATACAAGGATTATCTCAAACTCCTTCTCATTCAGGAGGTCCTCTCTCTCTCATGTACAGGGTGCACAACAAAGGTGAGAATAGCCTCTTAAGAGTCAAAAGGGCACTAACGTATATCCTTGTACATGGAGTTAGTGCCATCTTGCTCTAAGACCTGGCCGTACATCATAGTTCTACCCGGTACTGTTACTTTATGCATACAAAGATTATCTCAAACTCCTTCTCATTCAGGAGGTCTTCTCTCACATGTACAGGGTGCGCAACAAAGGTAAGAATTGCCTATAAGGGCCAAAGGGCACTTACACGTCTCCCTGTACATGGAGTTAATGTATTCTTGCTCTAAGCAGACCTTCAATCATGGAATTTCTATATGCATCCAATGATTATCTTAAACTCCCCATCCAGTACGTCCTCTCTCTCTCTCTCTCTCTCTTTCTCTCTCTCTCTCTCTCTCTCACTCAATCATATACAGGGTGTACAACAAGGGTGATAAAATGTGTTCAGAGCCAGAAGGGCGCTAAATCATATCCTCCTTCATAGAGTTGATGCATTCTTGCTCTTAAAACAGACCTTACATCATAGTTCTACTGTTATTATATGCATACAAAGACTATATCAAACTCCTTCTCATTCAGGAGGTCCTCTCTCGCATATACAAATTTCATCAAGAAATTGAATTCCAGATATTTGGTTTCGATAATTTGTTTATTGCCAATCAATTGTTTTGAAATTTTGTTGCCACGCTTTTTCCTACTCTTCCCACATTCGCACTCTGTGCTTGTACTGTCTATGCAAGGAAACAAACATAATATTGATGTTCTTACATTAAATTGAGTCAATTTCTTTCATTCATAATGGGTGTCACAATGCAAGCTTCACATTTCATTTTTTTTATATGCTAGATATTTGTTGACATGTGTACTTTTTTAAACAAATTTTTTTTCCGTTTGTCAGGAGGCAAATAATGTCAATTTTAAAGGGATCCAGTAACTTTGTTTTGGATCCTTTGAAAAAATCCTTGATTCAGCTCATGCTGCAATGATAATTATTATCCTTTAGGTCAGTCAGGAACCCCATGACTTTTACAAGCCGAGCGCCTGATTATCAAGATATTTATGACTGAAAATCAAAATCAAATTTTGCGTTTGCCAAACGGTTTTCATAACAGTACAGTCTATTGGAGAAAACGAGTATGGTAAAACTGGTCACTCAAAGGTTTTTACTTTTTTGAGGCACTTTTTGATCATTTTGAAGCCCAATTTTTTTTAGGGCTTCGATATAACACCATATCACAGACGCTGATAATATGTAGGCCCGTGCCTCTCGGATTTAACATTGTTAAACGATGCCTTTAATCATGTAAATTGACATTTGAATGATTTTGTGTACAGACTTAGCAGCCAGACGAGAAGTATGTTCCCTGGCAACCATAACCTCCAGCAAGCCGCCACCCTGACTCACCTCGAGAATCAAGTATCTGCTGCCCTCGCTCTCCAGTCTGCCAAGGAGTATCGCTTCTGGGTTCTCACCTATGCTAGGTATCTTGTACAGGAAGGTAAGTGGACCAGTGTTTACACGAGTTGAACTGTGATGAGAGAGATTTGGGGTATCGAGATTGTTAAATAGGCATATGGGTATAAGACCAGGGTCCCATTTAAAAAAACTTGTCATCAGTGACAAATTGACAGTTTTTGTTATAAGCTAGTGAAATCCTTGCTTCTGATTAGTTATCAGCAGATTTGTTACTGATTTTTGTCATTTTTTATTGAAAAAAGGCTTTGGACAATGGGTCCCTGGGGAGAAAGGTTTGGGCAATCCCTCTACTGAAAGGGCTTGGACTCATGATAAAGACCTTCATAGGTAAATTGTAACACCCTCCATTTTTGTATACTTGCCTGCCTCCCCCTCCCCCACACCACCCCAAGTTTATAAATTTGTGACCTCTGTAGATGGGCTAAGTAGGTTCATCAAAGTAAAGATTGCTGTTTTGGGAGTGTTTAGATTAAATGTGCACATTACGTTGTGCCATACATAACTTTCTTATCATTCATATCTATTCAAAATTCTCTTTCTCTTATTTCTCTCTTTCCCTGCTTGTCTCTCCCTCTCTCTTCCTTTTACTCTCTCTCTCTCTCTCTCTCTCTCTCTCCCTCTCTCTCTCTCATACAGAGGGTGAAGGTAGACTGAGGGAGCTGTGTAATGATCTCCTTGGACCATTCTATCAAGGAGACCAGGAGGAAGGAGGTTGGCAGTCAAGCATTCTGGTAAGAAAACAACAAAACCCACATCATTCATCTCTAATCACACAACCTAACTTATACGGTACTTCTCTTTCTTCTTAAGTCACATCTGTACACTCTCTAATATTACTTTTTTGTAACAGAATATGCTTTTCTTCAGAGGTTTTTTAATCACTGGAAGTAAGGAGATATTACCCAAACTGGACTAATATTTCTCCAGTCAAAGACCATTGAAGTTGATTCAGCCTGTTTCAGTCTGGAACTTTCCTCAGGGACTGATCTTGTGTCCAACCTGCTTCATTTGTTCTACTATGTTTAATTCCAGGTCAAATCATGGCATTTATGATACCATTTCTTATTTCATCAAAGATTGTACAAATCGAGGGTTCAGTGACACAAAGACGTAACTCCATAATTTGCCAAAATTAGTATTTGATATCAAAATGTTCAGAAAAATTTGAGCTTTCCAGGAAACACAAAGAATTAACTCCACCAACACCCCATTGAAGTAAATGGCTAGAGAAACATAGACTTAACTCCTTAAGGCCCAAGTGCTCAGTGACTCATAAACCACTTTTTCTCAAAATGGCCAAAATAGAGTAACGTCTTTGTGTCACTGACCCCTCGAAATATTCTTTGTGTTTTTGCTGCAGGGTATCTCCAAGCGAGGGCTTCTGAGGGACATCCTTCCTATCCTAGGGTCTAACCTCAAGCTTCAGAGACTCTACTCCGAGTACGAAGACCAGCTAGAGATGGCCCCTAGGTGATAGTAGAGGGCGCCTGTCATCATGCAGTGATCCCGAGATCAGGTTCCTGTTTCATAAAACTAGATTTCAATAACAAGTTACAAGCTACTATTATAAGCTACTGAAATCATGGCATCTGATTGGCTGAGAGCAAATTTGTCATAGAAATTTAGCATTTGTTATAGATAACAAGTTTTATGAAACGGGTCCCAGACTCGAACTCTGTAACTATTGGATATGCATCAAAGTCATAGACAGCCAATTGTTTGGATTGTATGATGTATATACAATGTACATGTTATAGATTGTAGACTGTTGCATACCACTGTGTGTTCCATTAGTGAACCGAAGCGAGTAAAGGGTTAAAGGCATAGGAAACGCATTGACACACACATACATCCATACACCCCCACTCCTAAGTTATTTTGTAAGGGTGTGTGTGTGTGTGGAAAGGAAAGAATTGTTGGCTGCTCTCACTATGAACATGACTGACAAAGAAAGCGGACAAAATATACAATTCCTCAGGTAGACAAGGGAACATCCTTTCACTGCTATTACGTAAAAAGGTGAATATGCATGTGACACCTGTTTTACATAATAGCAGTGAAGGGATGTTCCTTTGTCTACCTGAGGAACTGTATATTTTGTCCGCTTCCTTTGTCAGTCATATTCATAGTGTCTTTAGGTTATGACGAAACTTGGCATTAGAACAAATGGCAGATTCATTCAAAGCACTGCCTTCTCTATCATGTGAATAGGGAGACAGTAAACAGTACATTATAGTGATGTTACTGCAACGTGAACACCCTTAAAGACTTGTTCAGATATGGCGAGTTTTTACGTGTCAATGAAGGGCAACTGTGCGCAACAAAGGACCTGCGCATCATAGGTTTGTGTTATGAGATACAGAAATGTGAATCGTATTACCCTTTACACGTCACATTGCACGTTGCCGCGTCGTATCTGAACGAGCCTTGATTCTCCGTCTGGATTAACAATCCATCATTTTACACATCCACATTGACGATGTATACTGACTCCTTGAATCATGTTTAATGTAACATGTAAGAGCATAATCGTCTTTTTGGAGCCAGGAGCCCATTAACTTTGTGTTAAATGATGTGAGTTAAGGCACTTCATGGACCCGTTTCACAAAACAGAGGTCGCGTTTGGGTGTTTTTTAACGTGTACATGAATGGCACCTGCGAGCAACATAGGACTTGTGTATGAAAGGTTTGTGTTATAAGATACAGAAATGTGGAGCGTATTACAATTTACACGTCACACTTCACGTTGCTGCATCGTATCTGAACGAGCTTTAATTGCCCATCAGGGACCCGTTTCACAAAGGGTTTTTTCAATGACAAATGACAAAAATCAGTGACAAATCTGCTGATAACCAATCAAAAGCAAGGATTTCACTAGCTTATAACAAAAACTGTCATTTGTCACTGATGACAAGTTTGGTGAAATGGGGCCCTGGATTATTTAACAATCCATCATTTTACACAGAGATGACACCCTTCTGGCTCCACATTGACGATGTATACTGACTCCTTGAATCATGTTTAATGTAACATGTGAGAGCATAATCGTCTTCTTGATGTCCGAAGGGGGTTAACTCTGTGTAAAATGGTCCCAAACAGACGATGTAGGAATAAATCATGACCTTTGGATCTTTGAAAGAAAATATGGAGGACAGAATGATTTTATCATGAATTTTGCATACCTGAATGCCCCAATGGAAAATTATCATTATCTGTATCATCATGAAGCAATGAGATCTTGTCCAAATAATCCAGGTGTTTATTGATGTGAGGTAACAGATCACTACTTTTTACTCTGTGAAAATAAATTAGGTTGTGAATTCAGAAATCTAGAGGCTGGTAAAAGTGCTAAGAACAATCAATAATATGCTAATACATCATGTATCACACTATTACTGATTGATCGAGACTATCATGAGTTAAATGTGATACTTTAACAGACTATGGCAGTGCAAGCCTTGATAGAGGCCTAGGTATTTGATATCGTTTGTTTAGAGGCAGAAAGGCATTAGCTCATATCATTAGACACAGAGTTAATGCCCTTCTGCTTCCGACTGTCAACAGTTAATAGGCGAAATAACAATGAGAACCAACAAACATTTTCTTTTTAGTTAAAACTATTCGAGTTGGGGGATCAGGTCCCTTTTACAGACTACCAAGGCTGAATGATTATACAGTGAAACCTGTCTATAAAGACCACTCAAGGGAGACAAGCAAAACATTCTATTCAGGTGGTCATTATGGACAGGTTCCTTTAGTACACATTTCAACGGCAAACACAATTAAAGGGAAACAGAAATTGTGGTCTTTATAGAGGGGTTGTCTTTCTATACAGGTGGTCACTAAAGTAGGCTTCTTTCTCTTACCTTATGAGTATACTAAAGTTAAAATGTGAACAAAATATGCAATAATCGGTATTTGTTTGTCATCATTTGTACTCAACATATGTTCCTTGCCCATGTTGTGTAATGGACAATGAAGTCACCTAGTTTATGATACTTTTCTAGTCCAACTTTGTAACTTTTTGAATTCTTTGAATACGCTCACCATTTGTATTAATAATGCCGAAGTGATCAAATCGTGTGTTGTTTGATTTCATGTTGGTATTTATGTACTGTGCTTTGTATATTGCTTTGTATATTGCTTTGTAAAATAGCTTTGTACAATAAATACGAAAGTGAAAACAAAATGTGTTAATTTTGTTCATGAAGTTTATTGCTTGTTTCAGAGGCATTTAATACAAAAGCAAAACAATTCCGTACATCAAGTTAGTTTTTGTACCGGATCCATAACCACAATACTCCCTTCACCGATTTACTTTGAATCATTGGGTCATTGCGTCCGGTCGAGTGGTTGTGTTACACAACCTTTTGCGAAACAAAACTATACATCATGTGCAAATGCACATCAAGGATGCGACTTTTTGTAGGGTTTCACGGTGTCAGGTAAATTACCTGTAGGCCTTTAAAAAAAAAATGTTGTTTGCCCTTTAGGTGCCAAAACATGGGTCGGTCAGTCGGAAATCTCTTCTTCTTTTTTTTTTTACTCCCTCTTTGGGCTGATATTTCTAAATTTTGAATTCTTTAATACATTTTTTTCCTAAAAAACAGTTTAAAAAAAAACTCTTTTAAAAAGCCGACTGTAGATTTCAAGATTTTTGGGTCGGTCGCAAAGGGCAATACAACATCTTTTTTTTTAGACCTTGGACCAGACCATTTGAAGGTGAGAAGGGTATATTTCACAAACATTGCCCCCCAATTTTTTTTTATTAAGGGGCCTGGTTTCACAAAAGGTCAAGCAATGTAACCATCTGGCCCGACACAAAGTAAGTCCCCTTCACCAAATAAAAAACAAACCATGGAGGGTGTTTCACAAAGACTAAGATCAAATGTGGATTAATGTCTTGCCAAAGGACACTTAGTGTAGGGCTGTGATTCGAATCCTTAACCCTTGGATTGAGTGTCGAGTGAATCAACCTTTGTACCACAACACCACTTGTTTTAAATTTTGCAGGTTAACGGCACCAATTATCTTTTTGATCCAGTAATATTCATTCTACCACACTGCTACACTGCAGACTGATCTACATGTAACAATTTCTTCTCTTTGAACCAAATAATCTTGTCTCTTGTCTAACTTAGTTCGATTTGTTAAAATGAAAATTCAAGAACTAACTGAGAAAGCATTTTCTCAAGAATAATTGAATAGCGGTTCAGTATTGAACTGTTACGGTTTGGGAAAATCTATCAAAATTAAATACAAAATTTACGATAGATTTTCTGGCTGGTGATCAGTAGGTATCGTACAAAAATGTTCTATAAGTTTCAATCACAGAGAAGCGTTTGTATATTGTCCATAACTTCATATTTTGAGGCTTTATAACTCCAATCCTTTTGATTTATACCTTACAACAATATTCAGTACAAGTGTTACTTATGTCAGTTTGTCATATAAAAAAAAGTCTTGTATCTATACGATACTGTACAATACGATAAAGTAGAAACATCTATATAAAAAAAAATTGAAATGTTTATATAGGCCTACATGTTTTCATAATAGTTTTAAACCATTTAAAGTATGCAGCAAACAGGAAAATTCACAAAATTCTTATGATATTTACAAATAAATAGTATCTTCACCACATAATACAAGTGTATACTAATACACTAATATAGACTGCAACATAATGTCTAAGATTAATATTTACTTGTTCATTAACCGATTCAAATAATCAGACACACTGCACTATCAAATGAACATTCAGTCGATATAACCATTCAAATCACTACAATAAATAAATTATAACTCTTTTCCTATTTACTATACAAATTACATTGATACACCACCCTAGATTTGTATCATAAACACTGTAAAAATTTACATTATTCTTTAGGCTAGAAGAGAAGCGATGAGTTGATAACAAATTAAAAATTTAATTTCAAGTTATGGTTAAATATTGACCAAACAGTTTTATGGGATATAGATTTAAATAATACATTCATTTCAATTTTTTCCTCTATATGTCAAGTTATACACTTATTTCAATGAATTCAAAACAAACATTTCATTTTTGAAAAATCTGGATTCCGCTCGCGTTTTTCTCTTTTGCCTTATATGTTGTCCTTCCTGATTCAGAAAGAATTTAAGTGCATCAGTGAACACATCATCTCAACTCGGATGAACTGTCTCTGTTTGCTTTGTTTTGTTCTGTCTGTTCTCTCTCCAGCCCAGACTTTGACGAGATAAACCTTCTTCACAGAAGAAGAAGAAGAAGAAGAAGAAGACGAAAACGAAGAAGAAGAAATAAAGGAAGAGGAATAAGAAGAGGGAAGAAGAAGAAGAAGTAATAGAGGAACAGAAAGATGAAGAAGGAGAAGAAGAAGAAGAAATAGAGGAGGAAGAGGGAGAAAAAGAACAAGAAGGAAAACATGTAGAAGAAGAACATGAGCAAGAACAAGAACAGGAACAAGAACAAGAAGAATAGAGGAGGAGGAGGAGGAAGATGAAGGAGAAGAAGAAAACAAAACATATAGAAGAACAAGAAGAAGAAGATGACGGAGAAGAAGATGAAGAAGAAAAAGAAGATGAAGAAGAAAAAGAAGAGGTAGAAGAAAGAGAAGAAGAAGGAGGAGAAGGAGAGGTGCCTATAATAATAATTATTTCTTGTCTGGTACCATCTCGCTGTAAGGAGGAGCAGGATCTGTCTCGACCTGACAGCTTGCTGCTTCATTGACGATCCCAAAATAACTCTCTGAGGTCCCTTGCACTCCAGCACCTCTGAAAAAATAAAGTAAAGAAATAAGATGGTTAATGGTTAAGCAGGAACATCAGAAAGGCGTCATGGATCAGTAACTATTTGAGAAATGAAGTGCCTTTATTTGCCAATTTCTCAGAATGGTAGCTGACAGACATAATACAAATCAGGTCGTAATAATCCGTTTGGCCTTGCAGATATTTTGACGATCTTAAAAACTTTCTTTTGATAATCCTCCTAAATAAGAAATTCAGTCCGTCGAAATTGTTATCCTTTATTTATTCCTTTATAAATCCAGACGCTCCGTTATCAATAAAGCAATTAAGAACTTTCTAGGCAGAACGGGAAACAATATTATTGATTAGCTTCCTTTTCTTCAAAACAGAAATGTGATTGATCCATATAATTATCATTATTTGGGGGATACGGATATAGATACATAGCACCTGGTAAGGACAGAATAAAGGAGGTTGAATGGGGGCATATTGGAGATGGGGGGGGGGGGGTAATTTCCCCCGAATACTATGCCACTCCTTGTCTTTCACCTATGGTTTGTGAAGGAGTTAGTTGGCAGGTGTACAGGGTGTATTCTTCTGATAACGGATCAGAAAATTCTCTAAGGGGGAGGGGGTGAGATATTTTTACACTGTACCCTCCTTAGTACTATTCAACCGTGGTTAGTGATAGGTAAGAGTTTGTTTGGCCAGAAGATTTTCTAAGGGAGGTGGGATACTTTTAGACTTTAGACAGGTTAGAGTTTAATAGGGGAGGAGATTTTCTAAGGGGGTAGAGTAGGTTTAGACTGTTTTCTTCCTTACCGTTCGCCTGTGGTCTGTGGTAGATTGGAGTTTGTTGGAGGGGGTATCCATCTAATAACCGGTGCAGTTACAGCTGACGCTGGTGTATGGATGAACATCAGTTTTCTGATCAATAAAAGAAGGAAAATGAAATCAAAAAAAAAAATCAATTTAATTCAAGGCACATTTATTTGGCAAATCATAAATATAAAAATGAAATCATTGCATATACCGCGATTGCTAAAATAAGTTAAAAATTCGTAAACAAGCAACCCCAAACATAACTTACATTTTATCACGGCCTTTGACGAGAACCAGTATGACGATGATGATGAGAGCTGTGCAAACGATTCCGATAACGACCAGGAGAATGATGTTGTTATGTGAGAGATACCAGGAGCTGCTTCCATTCAACCCAACCTGATCAGCCTGCCCAGCTTCTGATGTATCATAATAATAATATATCAGATCGACAAGAAGGAGATTGATATAGTGATTACCAAACAAAAGCCGTTTTTTGTTTTTAAGTCTGGGCTTTCACAAGAAACTTACTTGAATGCATGACTTTTTTGGAATATTTTACAATGTACGTGATAAAAAGAACAAAACTAGTCGCTCAATTAATCAATCTTTTAATCAATCAGTCACTCGACCAATCAGTCACTCAGTCACTTAATCGATCAATATCATCATCAATTAGGTGATGAATTAACTAACCCTGCAATAAAAACTTGGGATATTATTTTTTTAAACTTAAAGCAATTTATAAATTCCTACATTAGAAACATATCTAGCAATGTTTCCAAAAGGTATACACGTCATATTTAGGCCTTAAATGAATAATGAATAGAAAATTAAATATCTTTCATTTCAACACAGAGACTGGACAGGATAGAGATTCAAAGAGGCTCCAGCAAGGAATTGAGAAAGGCGAAATGGAAGGATTAAAAGGGAAATTCTCTTGAATTATTGTCATGAAACGATCTTAAGAGACATTTATATTTTGCCTTGTCATGCTTCAGTTCAGTTATTCGGAAGAAATAATGACGAGTAAAGAAAGAAAGGATCGCAGACAGAATAAAAGGAATTATACCCTATTGTGGTGGAAATAACAGTTTCGAAAAGAAAAGAGGATTTAAGCTAGCTACACGTTAAATAAAAATGAGTTACGAGATACAGCCGGACAATAATTTTGTGAGTTTCGGACAACAAAAAAAAAAAACGAACAAACAAACAAGAGCATGATATGTGGTATAGTGGTTCATTCACTCAATGACTCTAAATTCAGGGGTTAAAGGTATGAATCCCAGGCCAGCACTAAAATCAGGTTTAAATGGTAACCTGGCAGTTGCTGGGGTAAAACAATAATTGGAGGGCCAGCGGGGAGAACAATTGGGACAACAACAAAAAACGAACAAACAACAGCATGATATGTGGTATAGTGGTTCATTCACTCGATGACTCTAAATCCAGGGGTTAAAGGTATGAATCCCAGTCTGTCACTAATAACAAAGACATTAATCCATATTTGCCACTCTCCACTCAGGTTTAAATGGATACCTGACAATTTATTGCTGGGGTAAGAACATAATTGGAGGGCCAGCAGGGAGACCATTATTACTACTGACAGGGTTTTCCTGGAAAAATAATATCTAATTATTATTATTCTATCATAAGTAACAAGCAAACAATCAGACCTTTAATAAATTTAATGAGACAGTATCTTACCATCAGAAGGAGTGTCGTCTGAGAATCCTTCTTCGTGATTACATCTCTCTGTTCCTTTGCAATCATCTTTACAATCCGTATCTTCGCACGGAAGATTCTCTGTCAGTAAAGAAAGGATATATTTTTTTGTTAATATCTTTATTTTTATTTGATAAACGAATTTATTATACTGTTCTATATTCATTGTTGAAACGATATGTATGATGTTTAGGCTTACATTGCAACGGAAATAAATCAAATGACAAATATAATGTAATGACAAAACAATTCTCCGACAAGAATAACTGAAAATGTGATTGGAAAGTTCCTTGATTTCACGATCTCTCGAGAAGGGATTGAAGAAGGAGAATTTGAAGTAATACTGAAAATCAATAGCGTTTGATATGTCTTGAAGCCGCAACATGAAGAGCTCATGCAGTGACGCTAGAGAAGAAGGAAAAAATGTTGTAATAATGAAGGCGGTGAAGGTATGATAGTATATTGTATTATGATGGATTGTCTATACTGAGAAAGAGATAAATACATATAAATATGTTCTCATTATTCACTGATTTCTTCCGCTTACCTATGCATGAGATTGTAGCGCAGCCGACAAAAGCTGACGAATCAGGATCCCCGCGTATCACATACTCGGGGCTTTGTGACGACGACGACGACGACGACGACGACGACGCCGTAGATGACTGGGTTGATGAGGACGATGATGACGAAGGCAGCTCGTCATTGTTTGGATTAAATACGGCACAGAAATATGCAACGTCACTACAGGTGATTGAGGCAGGTATTCTCATGTTAACGATGTCTACATTCCGAAAAGTCATGTGATTGTCTAAAGAGAAATCAGACTGTTCTTTCCTGAGTGGGACGAGGATCTCGCCAAGCCTGTCTGCGTCGCCCTTGTCGTCTCGGCTGAAGAAGGCCGTCACGGCCCACGTTGGGGTGGTCGAGGTGGATTGGATTGCGAGATGGGGGTTGGCCGAGTGCGGAGATGGTGTGAGCTCGAAGTCGAACGTCAGATTTAACGTTTGTGTGGATGAACTTATTGTTACGTCATCACTAGCGAGGAGAGGAGTTGCCGAGGAGATTGAAATGACGTCTGCAAAAGAAAGAGGACAAAACACAAATATATCAGGGTCACGAAGAAAACATTTTATACATAAATATAATAATTATTTATGGAGACAGACAGACAGACAAAAAGGGACTAAGAGAGAGGGTGGAGAAAGAGAAAAACAGGCAAAAAAAATTGAGAGGAAGAAGAAGGAAAGTGAAGACGAAAAGAAAGAAATAACAAGTAATAGAGAGATAGGTAGGGAGGGTGATAGAAAATGAGAGAATGATTTTGAATCAGTCTTGTTATTGAGATAAAAACATTGTTTGCGAATATGTTTGCGAATATACCGTACATATATATATATATATATATCTATGTTTTTCATCATCAAATAAATCATTCTCATTCTTCTCTATTTTCCTCTTTCGTCACCCCCCCCCCCTCTTTCGCCACCACCACCCCCTTCTCTCTCTCTCTCTCTCTCTCTCTCTCTCTCTCTCCCCTCTCCTCCTCTCTCTCTCTCTCTCTCTCTCTCTCTCCCTCCTTCTCTCCCCTCTCTCTTCTTTCTTTTTCTATAAGTATACATATCTCTCTATCTTTCTTTCTCTTTCTTACTCTTCAATATACATTTGTATAGGCCTATGTATATCTTTCTCTCTTTTTCTTTTTCTCTCGTTCTTTCATTCTATCTTTCTCTCTTTTTCTCTCTTTCCGTCTCTTTCTCTTTCTGTATTCTATCTACCTTTTTATCTTTTTCTCATAATTACATCGAACTCGTCTCCTCGGTGGAATCTTACCTGTTTCACAGAGTGTTCCTGTAGTTGCAGGCGGACATGCGCAGTCGAACCCTCCAAACTCATCCATACAAACACCGTCATTTTGGCATGGAGAAGATGTACAGTCATCAAAGTCTGCCGGTTCAAACAAACTTTAATATTTGAGATATGTTTATGGAAATATAATATTTTCAAATACAGTTCATAGCCGCTGTTAATTAGAATCACATTTTGTAACATGCTTTGAACCCATACCTTCTAGCACGTTCGAAAGACTTTCGATAAAATCTACTCAATGATTATCTGCCCTATTACCATGATTGTATAATCCTCTCTTTGGTTTACGTAATACTCTTCACACAATTCAATGGGTAAAGAACAGGGTTATTGAAATCTCTTTGTTATTTTTGTCTTCGAAAGTCTTTGCGACTTTGTTTATATTTAATTTACAATAATATTAATGAGTCATTGAACAGAAAGTAATCCTTAACTAAAATGGCGGCTTACATTTTAACCCTCGACCATGACTCTCATGTTACCTCGTCTTTCATAACCGTGAACTTGAGGATCCTCATAGCACTCAAAGAAGTTCTTGAAAACACGAACTTTCGTTTCACACGAGTTGAGAGATGTACTAATACAAAAACAAAAATAATACAACGCCACTGTGCGCCATACATCGTTAAAATCGGCTTCCATCGTGCTTACCTGCAGTAATGGTCACATTGAAGCCCTGTGATATGATGTTATGATCAGTAACATAGATCATGAAGATAGAGGATGTATTGAAGATGATGTCCTTTGGTAAGTCCTCGCCCAATTGTCCCATTCTGATGTGCGAAGTCGTCTCAATACTCGCATTGTTACCCGAACCCAACTGGATTGTATCTATATAATAGACAAATTAATGGATAAAAAATTGAATATATATTATTTCTTGAAGAACGATTGGACAGTTGATATTCACATAACATGGAATTGCATGTAATCATAATTATAAGTGCTATTAAGTAGCTTCATTTATAATGCAATGTCACAATAGTTTTGATAAACTGTGTATTGGAATATTTTTTTAAAGTCTACATTTATTTAAACAAAAAGGATTATTCAATACCTAAGAGTGTCGATTTTGGATGGTATGGATAGAATAGTACCTACCCCCCCCCCCCCCTACCTCCCATCGGTAATATCTTCAATTGATAAGCAATAGAATTTCTCAGTTCAAAATTATCGTGGCAAAATTAACCGCAAAATAAACATCGTTTTTGAAAAGCAGAAAATAATTTTGTTCAACACCATTTTAATAAGAGCAATCTCTTACTTCACTATAACATACCTAAGCACAATGGTATATTAATCATTGATACAGGACATTCTGAACGTAATAAAAGGCGATTGTTTGACATTGAGAATATTCACATTACAAAGATGATGCTGAACGTAAATTGAAATTGAATCCCTTGACATTTAATAGGATTATCTGAAATGATCACCTTTAAGCCATTCTGTATTGAGAGCGTTGAATGTGACCCTGATATGCTTTGCTCCATGAATCCTGACGATGTAATAGCAGACGACATTGTGATTGGATACCAGGGGGAAGCCAGGGCTCGTTACCATGGTGACTGGATCAGAGATGGAGAAGTAGCACAGCTCATCTATACGGATACAAACCATGAAAAAATAAAATTCATTTAAATCGTCAGTTTAAAAGACACTTTGTCAAAAAGGAAAATCAAAGTGATCATGAAATGGAATCGTATTTCATAAAACCAAACGAAATAGAACGTGAATATTAGGCCCAAGAGATATGTTGACATGGGCGATTTGCATATTTTAGCTTGTCAATTTATATACGAATATGCTGCTTCCAAGATTATGTTGTAAAGGTCGAATAAAATGATCATAATTATTAAGTAAAAACTTGCAGATACAATTATCATGATCAATGCTACTTAGTGGCGTATAGATACAGGGGTCATGCCACCCCCTCCCCCATCACGAATGGAAAACAAGGGTGAAGAAAGAAAAAATAAGAATTCACAAAGGGAAATGAGAGGGGAAAAGGAACGTGACCAAAAGGAAAATAAAAGTGCGACCTCTATCCCATTCAACCCTCCAACACACCATCCAAAATAATGGTCGGCACAGTTGCCCTTGTACATATGCCCCTTCCTATACAACATAAGTCCCTCTTTCTCAGTGGCTATAGACCCACTCTATCCCCAGTGTTAATATTGTTCATCTTTCAAGGGGCCGAATTTTACAAAAGAGGCAGACCCAATTTGGCCTTGGGGGACATTTTCATAATTCCCGGTGTTTGTTCAAAATAACAAACATGAATTTAATTTGAATAGTCAAAATACTGAAGGTCGAAACACATTGAATTGAAATCACAATGAAACGAAGAAGAGAAGTTTTACAAGTGTGACCTTTCATCATTCAAGTGGGGACACCCCTAAAGTGCGAAAGGAATACACAAAAGGGTACAATAATTATGACGCGCTTGTTAAATGCAATTTGGAGAACGTTCTCTATCAACGTTTTGTGGACCGACACTATTAGAGCACAACATAACAAATAAGATAGATGGAAGGGAACTATGAGAAGATGGCGATAAAGTCAACGACGTGGTGTCACGTCGGAACAAATATTGGCTCATTGATTCAGAGTTGATGGAACACTTTCAACCTTGTTGTGATTAACGATTATCGAAACAATACGCAACACGAGAGACGGTGTCGGGAACTTCATTCGCTTTCTTACAAAACCTCAGGCACACCTGGACGAGACCGACATCTGACCGACAATGCAATGAGCAAAACTTAACTACCCCCTAATGGCAAAGAGTCAGTAGGCTTGGAGTCGGGCTGGAGTCGGTCCAGCGGTGTGACTGAGGGTTTAGTTCCGCCGTGTTTGGTTTTTGTTTTCTTTCTTTGTTGGTGTTATTGCATCTTTTGTTTCCTGTTCATTGTAAGATTGCGGTTGGGTTTATTTCTATGGGATGGGTGACATGGTGAAATTGACAGTTCCTTCACCTGACCTATTCCCCTGTTTCTTCTTTTTCTATGTTACAGATAATGGACGAAGGTCAACTCATCTGGGAGCAAGTATAGTTCGACCGATACATTCTGTATTTTTATTCTGTTTTCTGTATGTTTATTCTGTATTCTGTATTTTGCGCCCCTCATCAATTAGTACTATTGGAGTCACATCTTGCCCTTAGATACTTTTAACCAAAACCTCTCAAGACAGTATATATTATTTAAAATATTATGTTTGCTATATACAAGGGAAAAGCACTGTTGACAGCTATCATTTAAATAGACAAGGCGACACGTTCAATCTTTTAATATAATTTAAAATAGAGAACAAAAAACATATCAAATGGCATAGGATCTCAGAAGATACGTCACGGCCTTTGCCCAAATTACACTAATCTGCCTCTCCCATTTCCTACTTTATCCAAACCCACTAAATATTACAGTCGACTTATTAACGATGTTCATTATATTCCAGATCGAGTAGGTCTAGTCAAAGTCTATACAAGAATGTCTGAATATTGTATACCATTAAGAACTAATCAATTATCAATTTTAATAATTTCTTAGAGAGAATGATGAGCATCTTACCAAGGTCTTCCGATAAAGGTTCCTCACAATGTGTACCGTGGTAACCATGGGTGCATTCACACGTAAAATAACCATAAGGATCATCCAGACAGGTGGCTCCGTTCACACAAGGGTTGCTGGTACATTCTATAGGAAGAAAAGAGATTGTTAAAGAGACAATTATAATTTTTGTTTGAGGTGTTATGGAGGTGTCGTGGCTTAGTGGTTCATTCAATTGACTCAATCATAGGGTTGTGGGTCCGAATCACACCAGGCACTAAACGTCCTTTGGCAAGACATTTATCCACATTTGACACTCTCCACTCAGGTGTACATAGGTGCATGGTAATTGTAGGAGTAATAATAGTTGTAGTAGGGTCCTTTGGGAGGACAGCATTGATTTGTGTGTGTAATTTTACAGTTTTTTACAGACGTGTATCAATCAGATATGATTATTTACGTCTGGGGATCGACCTTTAACGTCACCATCTGAAAGACGTGACTCAGTTTCGAACCTGCGTCCTCGGCTGAAATTGATGCTGATAGGGCTTCCTTTTATTAGTACATGAAATTATGACCCCCTCCCTAAAAGAAAGCTCTCAAAACTCTTCAAATGGCAATGTATAGATATCAGGATGATGATACTGATTATGGTACTGATTGGGATGAGGAGGAGAATTACAACAAAGTGGACATGGAGTAGGAGTTGGAGCTCCTCGGGCATAAGGCGACGTTCCCCCACCCCCAAAAAATGAAAAAGAACCAAAAAAGAAAAACAGTGGAGAATTAAAAAAAAGAGAAATAAAGAGGAATAAACGGGAAGGGGGACTTAAAAGAAGATTGCGTGACTGCTCCCATACATCCCCTCCCCTTAACGTTAGCCTCTCTCTCTTCCCCCACTTGGTATAGATCGCTACACCTTCATGAAACAAAGCCCTCCCCTCCTCCCCTCCCCCCTCCCCACTTCCCGTCGGGTGGACTCACGCTACCCCACTGACCAGGATAATAAAAAATAATGACAGCGATGGAGATAAGTAGCAAAGAAAACACATTTATTGGTGACACCGATAACACTTATTGTTATTGATTGATAACAGTTGAACAAATTAAGGATAAAGGTTTACAGTCATTTTAAAAAGTGCTGTCATAAATTGCAATTACCTTAATTGTGACAGCAAGAATGACAACTGGCATTGTAAAAGCGAATGATGACGTCAACGTAACGCTTTAAAGTTGTCAAACTCCAAGTTTGACGAATCAAATAACAGATGAAATGGGTTGATCGAGGCAAGTATTGTTCGTTTATGGTTTGATTTAGTCATAAGTCATTAGTTAACTAACCACGAACCAAACGTCGTTGTAGTTTAGCGTTTTGCTTGGGCATATTTTTAAATGGAACAGCAACGTCATAAGGGCCATTTAGTGCTCAAGCTTTTTGGTGTTCACGTAATATGAAACTCATTTCGAATTCATGCGCCATTGCACAAACTCTCTACTGGACAATGATTAAAACAAATAGACGTAAGGGAAAATCATAATCATAATTAGGATTACCAAAATAGAATAAGCATGCTTAAAATAGTACCATCGACACTAGTGCTGGAATGCAATCAACATAATATATATTATCTAAACAGCTTCTTATTATGACAGATTTATACATAAATAATTAATAAAATCAAGAAAGTTCATCAGAATCTGAAATAATACAAAGCCATTAATTGAAAGAATACTGAATTTTGGTGGAAAATAAGATTATCATTTAGTATTCATTGCGTTCCCTACCTATGAAAGATTTTGGTGACTTTAATTTTTTGCAATTTGGCATATTTTTCACAAACAACATTCAATGTACAGTTAACAACTAAATTATTCATACCATTACTTAGTTTTGTAATTTTGAAGTATGTGAAACATGAATTTGTCCTGATTGATGTTTCCTGAGAATGTGACATATTGCAGCTTGCATCTTAAAGTATTCAAAACATGCCCTTATCCAAACAGTCCACCATTCTGTCTTGACTTACGAAGAACACAATAAACATCAAACTTACAAGGTTAGGGGTATGAATAATTCAGTTCTTAACTGTATATGCATAAATGTTTCTATTGCATGAAGAAACGGGTATCTACTGTTAGTCGAAAATAGAGAAGATGACACCTTAAATTCTTTTAAAAGATTTTACGCCCACGTATCGGATATGACAACCTTTTTAAGCATCTTAGGAAAAGATTCCGGTGATTTCTTGGAACTAATCATCCATACACCTATACAGACCGCTGGTCTTAACCCTTTGCTTGGGTGAAGAAAGAAACAAGGAATCTCCCCGATTGGTAACCACTTCCTATTCGTAAGAACGGATAACATTCTTGCCATGACATTGTATTTGCAAAAATTAACTTGACATATAAACGCTTTTTGATATTTATTTTGATTACTTAAACTTAGCATGAAATTCTTAAATTTTGGCGCGTTTTCGAGGTGCAAGAAATCTACGGTAGGGCATTGACTTACAACTTGAACATCCTTGGTTCGAATCAAGTGAGAACATTGAAATTAGATAAAACAATGTATAATTATATATATATATATATATATATATATAAATTCGTGACGATCTCGTCCCTTGGATAGGACACATGACCATTTGGTCTCTGCGTCATTATTTTTGTTTACAAGTTTAGAATCGTTCACAGAAGTACAAAATAGATACATGTATTCACAAGCCAGTCTCAGAGATTAGTAAAATCAATCAAGCTTAGTTTCGTTTCCACTTTCAGTTTGGTCTACTTGAGGTATTACGCAATCTGTTTTCGCACTCTGTTATTGAGTGATCAGACAATATTTCTTCTTCTTTAGCTTATTGTTCCTGTTCTCGATCTTCTTCTTCTTGTTTTACTTCTCCTCTTCCTCTTCCCTTTTTCTTCTTCTTCTTCATCTTCTCTCTCCTCTTCTTTTTCTTCTTCTTTTTTCTTCTTTTTCTTCTTCTTTTTTCTTCTTTTTCTTCTCCTTCTTCTCCTTCTTCTTCTTCTTCTTCTCCTTCTTTTTCTTCTTCTTCTTCTTCTTCTTCTTCTCCGTCTTCTTCTTCTCCATCTTCTCCGTCTTCTTCTTCCCTTTCTTCTTCTCAGTCTTTTCTTTTCTTCTTCTTCATGTTAAGTACGGAGAACGTTGATGTTGTAACATTTTATTTACAAGTGTAATTGGAAATCGAAACACAACTAAATATTCATTCTGATTGCTTAAACTTATCATGAAGTTCTTGAATTTTGGCGCGTTTACGAGGTGCAATATGACACAAGTCATGGCCATTGGTCTCTTTACAAGTTAACAATCATTAACAGAAGTACAAAATAGAACATATTATCTCAGAGATTAGTAAAATCAATCAAGTTTTGTTCCGTACCTACTTTCAGTTTAGTCTACTTGTTAGTGTTACGAACTCTGTTTTCATGCTCTGTTAATTGAGTGATCAGACAATACTATAACACCGTTCTAGTCTGTTCTTGTCTGGTCAGTCTTAGTGCGGATTAAACCAAGGGGTTCTAAGAGTTGTTCATCCTTCAAACTATGAATCCCCTTTTTTCGTCTCAAGGTTTTACCTCAAAAGGTTTTATTGATGTTTTGCAAGACGTTGTCAGACGAGCTATTTCGTAGAAGAGACTTCATGGATACAAAGCAATCATAGCTTGCTTGCATTTAGGCAAAAACCCTTGTCCGTCATAGCGCGTAATAAAGTGTCTGAACTAAAAGACTATGTCGACTGTACGGTCTAATGCACGCAATAAGGCTATGCACTATAGCTGCCCCTGACAGAGCCAAAGACGCACAGAGCTAGGCTCTGCTCAAGACTGGGATTGCGCTTAAGTGTCTTATTGAAATCTGGGCCTGCAGACAACATAGAGCGTTCACAGGGTCACCATCGTTTACGTGTTTGTACACGACTGTCTATTGTTATTGACATGTTTTAAGTCGAATTCAAGGGAAATGAGATCGGATGATCTCCATTTATGTCCTTAATATAACTAAGTATGGCGGAAACAAGAAGTTTTTTTTATAGGTAGCTGTCTCTCATTCTAGAGACTCGTTGTGCTTGATTGATACCAAACATGACTGACGAGCCCCCCCCCCCCCCGCGCCCCTCAACAAATATAACTCGATTAACTTTCCTCGACTTCACGCATCACACATTAATGTCATGAATGAAGTTGAATACATAAAAAGTTTTCACATTAATTCATTCTTCACAAAGAACGATTGACGATCATTGAGGTATACAAAGATAAAGAATCATTATACTCTTTTCTTTTCAGTATAGAAGAATTTATTGATTAAACGACACCATATAAACATGGCAGGTTATATTAAGGTCGGCACTATATTGGATCCAAGATTCTTATGCGCACACCGTAACCGTTAGGGTTAGTGACAGGGTTATACGTAAGCTCATGAATAACAATGAACGAATGTTGGAGTCCATATAGTGTCGACCTTATAATCAAGGGCAGCTCGGGAAACGAACGTGATTCTACAAAATGAATACGAGAATGACGAGGCAAAAACGAACTCTCCTTATGTTTGAAGATATCCTTTTGAAATACATTTTGCAAAATAAGCCCTAGTGCGTATATGGAAAGCAAATTACACAGGCCTAGATCGTGAGTATGGTAGAAAAAAACTGGAGTGTACCATGAGCTCCAGTAGTCTATTTATGATGATATTTTTTTACAAACAGAACTTATATTACTCTTAGCGAAAGTAAATACGAATTGGATTAGCGTAACGATACGCTAAGTGCACTTTGGTAAGGCATTAATCTCTAATTACCAGGTCCCTCAGAGAGAACCTAAGGCCGTCGCGGCGGCTTTAGATTGCTCTGGTTCTCTGGTTGCTTATGCTTACTCACAGGCAACATATGCTTTCTTAGCAGTCAGGTAAATTAACCACCGCTAAAAAACTTGCTAGCGTATACTGCTCCAGTAGTCTATTTTATGATGATAATATTTTACAATCACTCTTAGCGAAAGTAAATACGATTTGGATTAGCAATGTTAAACAACAAGCACATAATGAAACAAAACATTCGGTATCCTCGCTAAGCTTCCTAAAGATCTTTTTTTCTACTTCATCATAATTTAACTTTACTCTTCAATAATTGTATCCATAAACTAAGTGCAATAAACTAGTTTCCATTCACAGTAACAAAGACGAATGTGAAAAAATATCCACAAATAATGATAATAAACAAGCCTACCTGTCAAACTAAAATGAATTATAATTTATTTTTGACTGATATAGATTTTACTCCGTTAAATTTGGCTACGTTAGGCATGATGACGTCATTACGTCCCTTGATTCTTTTGTCACCGCATCCTATGCATCATTAACGATATAGCCCATTATAACACGCTCCCAAAAGTGGAGTTATTATTTTCAAACATTTTAATTTCTATTTTATAGGATGCCCAATAAATGCCCAGGTATTCTTTTTGCGAATGGCAATTCATTCAGAGCTGTCAATCTTTCAAAGTTTAAATTACCTGTGGTTTTTCATAGTCTTGTGGCTTCGAATCGCGTTGAATTACAACCATGGACATGAGTACAGTCTTGTGGTTGTATTTTCACCGTGTCAAACTATTTTTACAAGAGCAGACTAGAGAGAGAGAGAGAGAGAGAGAGAGAGAGAGAGAGAGAGAGAGAGAGAGAGAGATTGTGACCCCTTCATTGTCACCAATACCCCCACTCCAGAATCTCATTTCTTTGTTTAGGAAAACCAAGGAGTTTTAAGAGCTCTCTTAACACCTTGGTCAGCGAAACAAACATCAACAGTAGCCCCTCGCAAGTTATATTCGATGGGAGAATTAGTCTACGCGTACACCCATCCACCCCTACCCTAGCCCTCCCCCTCTCCACCTCTCCCCCACCCTCTCTCTCTCTCTCTCTCTCTCTCTCTCTCTCTCTCTCTTCTCTCTCTCTCTCTCTCGCTGCTCCTCCCCCTCGTCTCTCTCTTTGATGGTTAGTTTTGCTCTGGTTTTATTTTCCGAATAAAACAACATACAGTCATATTATGGACATAAACAAAAAAAATACTCAAATGAATGCGACTGGTTTGCTCCATTCAGAGCATCCCCCCTCCCCCCCCCTCTCTCTCTCTCTCTCTCTCTCTCTCTCTCTCTCTCTCTCTCATTCCCCTCATTTCTCTCCCCCTCGATTTCTCCCGGTCTATGCTGTCTTACGCTTGTTTTCTCCAGCCATTTCTCTTTTCCATTTCTCTTTACTTTTCTCCATTGTTATTTCTCCCATCCATCACTCTCTCTCTCTCTCTCTCTCTCTCTCGCTTTCTCCTCGTTTCACTATGACAATGATATAGAAAACATTATTTTTCTTCAAAATTATACTACGAATGCAGAGACTCTGGGTAATTGGATCGATATTGAACATTACGATGGAACAATTATGCTATTACATTTATAATTAAGGTATCAAAATTGATACATTAACCGATCATAAATCATTGGTAATATAATTTTTATGTTAATCGGTCAATAACGCTACCATAATATTGATCAGTTAATTGATTGATCTATCATGATCAATGCCAAAGGTTAATCAATTAAATGAAAAGCTCAATGGACAATCAATTAAGCTAAAAGCATACAAAAATTTATATCAAAATTTAAAATTAACATAATATAATCAGTAGACTTCCATGAAGGCATAATAATGACTACAAATTAGCAGCTCGGCAAGGCGCAATAATTCTAGATGGGTGTTGTTGTGTTTTTTTTTTTGGGGGGGGGGGGGAGGGGGGCTCAATTCCCCCACCCCAAATCTTCGAGCCTAATTTCCTATTAACTCGATTATAATTTAGTAGAAATTGAGTGTTAAAACCCCAAGCCCCCTATCCCCGCCTCCAAAGCCCTCCAAAATTATCCTTTTACGAGACTCGTCATCTTTACATTGCAACAATGATCAAAATACACCTCGTCAAGGCCCAATGATAACTTACTGACGTCCATATATTATAGTATAGGCGCATAGTAGTCTCGAAAGACTGGATTCTGCAATTGTGTTTTACAGACGGGTATCAACCAGATGCGATTATTTACGTCTGGGAACTTTACGTCATCATCCGAAGACGTAACTCTGTCTCAGTCTGTATTCGAAGACAGAGAGCTGGCCGTACCAAGGACATTACCCCTAGACAAGGGAGGTGACCCTGCCTAGACCAACAGCTCACATCTTATGCACGAGGCTCGATGATTTTACACTTTTGAAGATTCAAGATTTATTTATTTCTTTCCACTTGCATGACAACAATGCATTCATGAACAGTAACAAGTTCGTCGTCAACTAGAATAAATTCAATAACAATAACAAGAAAGTTATAAAGACGTTGAAAATGTGGAAAAGAGGTGGTCTGTAAAAATCACTTTGCTTCTCCGAAATGTGTTGTGTTTTCTCTTTATAAACACTTGCACACAGACCTAGTTACCTTGGCTTGGTGATGGTAAAAGGAAGGGAAACCAATATTTGTTCATTCCCTTACCCTCACGAGTCACGTATCGCGAGGACGTGGGGGGGGGGTCTGTGTTGGTATAGCACTCGAGTGTACACGAACGATGAAGAATCAAACTATGTACAAACAAACTGAACAACATTTAGTCAAAGATCGAGTGCTTGAGATTAATCATACCTCAACCGCTCCGTCATGGGGTTACTCTATCCACACCAACGAGACCGACACCTGGGGGGTGTTTCACAAAGATCCTAAGTCGAACTCAACTCTAAATTGGACTTAAAAGTTATGAAGGGCAATTTATAGCCTTAAAATAAAATATATTCAAAAGCGAAAAATCAAGTATTTTAGAATTTTTATGAATTCCACATCGAGAACATGAAGTCTCCTTGATAATAGAAAGTATTAAAAGTATAATAGGAAAGGTACGGCATGAAAGGTATTGGTAAACGATTATTTATCATCCAAAGTCGTAACAATGAGTAACGTTTCCTGCCAAAATGGTCCTTTAAATGGGTCTGGGTTTCGAAGCTCCAGCCTTATATACCCCCCCCCCCCCCCCCCCTCCGTGCATCTATGGTCCAACCATATATCTGAGTGCAATTATTTGGTTTAGCGGTGTGTGTGTGATTGAGGTATACAATTAACCATGTTTACCTCACAAACTTGTGGTATAATAATGATATCATTGTTTCCTATCGACCAGACTGGATAATATTATTGGACGAACGATAAGGTTATGTATCTGATCTGATATTTCAGTGATAAGTATTTAGCCGGGGTAGGGAGGATGTGAGGGTGGCGGGAAGGGCGGGGGGGGGGGGCTACGATGCTGATTATGATTACGATGTACATAATGTATTAAGTATAATATTGTTGAGGCTCTTCTCTTTAGTACTTAATCAGGCTCGTTATTTTACGGGTCAATAACTTTTTAGCTTATTTTCTCTCTTTCTCTTCTTATCAATTTACCTTTGTCTCCCTACAAGTCTACTTTATATTATCGATCTCTTTTAAACAAGATATCTCAACTGGCAGTATAGCCCTACTACAGACACGTGGAGTAGGTCTCAATGTAGCCAAATTGTCTTTGTTCACAAAATAATAACACATTATCTTCATATCGCGTTCTTAATGATTACATCTTGCCTATTTCCATCTTGCTCGGAGGTAGCCTATACATAATAGAAATGAGAAAGATGCCACTCATATCTAGATACAATTTGACCATCTATAAAAACAAAACCACTCTGGTAATTTTATTTTGCACTCAATTATTGTTAATATTGAAAACCACGAAATTGTAAATTGAAATGAAAACGTTACCATTGTGAGCCACACAGCCGAGTATCATGGTGGTGCACACAAGCGTGGCGACGAAAACAAGGTTTTTCTTCGGCGGCGGGAGCATTGTTATGATCGTCTGTTGCTGGTCTTTGTTGAGTAGCAGTCAATCTTATATGCGTGGTGTCCTCGGCACTCAGTGACTTGGTTGACCTGGTCTGAGTGAGCTCGCGTGGCGGAATGATCGTTGAGTGAGCGGGTGGGAGAGGACACAGAGTGTTTTGCTTGCATGGGTGGATGCATCCTAAGATGCGTGGTAGATTTAATGGATGAAAGCGATTTCCCTCCTATTATTAAAGCGCGCGCTGGAGAGACCTTGAAATGTATGCAAATACTCTCAGGAGCATAATCATCATTTACTTTGTTAATTTAGAAAATGTATTTTTTTTGGTTTTGAAGACAAAAGAAACGATGCTTTAAATTGCATGATGACTCTGGTTAAGCATCAACTATTCGTACAAAGCTTAATAACAAAATTCAAATTTGAAGAAGAAAATTATTCAATATTATAAAGACGAGAGATATATTCATTCTATATCTGGTATGTATAACAAATTTTGTACTAAATGGCAGTCACTTCAACATTTGTTTGTATGAACAACAAGGATAGAAATGTGAAAGTATTTTGTTTTATTTGAGTTAAAGAAAGACTTCATGTCATTGAATTGTAAATTTTTTTTGTTTGACTCAATAAAATAGCCTATGAAGGGATAAAACGTTTTTCTTTTAGATCTCTTTTAGTCCAGTTGATAAATAGCAAGATACATGCATTCATTCTAAAGAGCTGTATTTTTTTCTTCCAAATGAAAATAGGCCTGAATAAGAAAATCAAAATGAAAATAAATGGATCACCTGATTACCATCTAGGCCTGATCACTTATATCTCTTTGTTACACTGTGTCCTCCTGCATGTCTTTCCAAAAATATTTCAGTATACAGCTTTCTTGGGAGTGTGCAATAATTAAAAGATGAAAGCTCTTTGTCTGAGTAAATGTAATGATGAAGAAATCGAGGATTTTAAAAAATATGAAGATTTAAACTTGAATCTCATTGTCCAAAATTACCAATCTATTCATCATTAATACATTTAACCAATACATTATTTCGACGTTGTGATCTTTAAAGAAATACTAATTTGCATCGTTTGATTACAATGTTGTATTATGCTTTGTATTCGTATGTATTCATATTTGTTATTCTGTTCTGTATCTTTATTGAAAATGTATCATCTTTTTGCTATATGATGTTGTATTCTGAGAAAGGATTCTTAATCATAAAATTGAATCAAAATCAAAGTAACATTTTATATGAGTACTGGAGAAAGATATATAGGCCTATATATGTCAAGGAATAAAGAGGATCGTAAATGCTTTCACGAAATCAGCTGAAGGGCATTTGCAACACCATTTTGTATTGTCCATAGAAATTATGTTTGGATTGCGTAACCTATCATTGTAATAGATGTAGATTGCAGGATCGAATCCTGCTGTTTCCAATATTTTTTTTCTGACTTGTTTTTCAAGTACAAGAACAAGCACGCGATCTATATTTACTGATGCAAACCCCCCCCCCCCCTCCCCCTTCCCCAACAATTATTTATACATACAAAATATCATTGCATTGCTCGCGCATTGGAGTTTGACAAGGCTGTTTAAAGCTGTCTTATTGGTTTCTCGAAGGTCTATGCAATCGTGTAATTGCTTTTCGTTATCAACATGAATTTGGCATGGAAATGAAGAGTTGGAAGGGACATCATACTTATGTTATGGCATTCTTTCGATTTAGAAATATAGATTGATTCAGGTGACGGAGAACCAGGGTCTATACTGACTAAGTAAATGGAGATTGAAAAGGCTGTTTAAAACTGTCTTAGGTTGGTTTCTCGAAAGTCTATGCAATCGTGTAATTGCTTTCCGTTATCATCATAAATTTGGCATGGAAAATGGAGAGTCGGAAGGGACATTATACTTATGTAATGGCATTCTTTCGATTTAGAAATATAGATTGATTCAGGTGACGGAGAACCAGGGTCTATACTGACTAAGTAAATGGAGATGGACAAGGCTGTTTAAAACTGTCGTAGGTTGGTTTCTCGAAAGTCTATGCAATCGTGTAATTGCTTTCCGTTATCATAATGAATTTGGCATGGAAAATGGAGAGTCGGAAGGGACATCATACTTATGTAATGGCATTCTTTCGATTTAGAAATATAGATTGATTCAGGTGACTGACTGGAACCAGGGTCTATACTGACTTTGTGGGATGACCAGATATACAATGAAAGTACATTGATTTATAGAGACATGACAATCATTCGGCCCATGAGCCTGGGGTGGAATGCCAATGACACGAACAGGTCTATTCACCGTCTTTTATTCCCCTCTAGAAGTATTGATCTTTGGACTATAAACAATCTATAACATTGCCTATTGAACATGCTTTTATGTTTACTTGCGGTGTCATATTGTTGGGACTACAAATCAATAACAAAGGGTCTCACAGTGGCGACCTCATTAAGACCGTGGCATTAAGGTATAGACTAGCATGATCTTAAAATGTTTGTTAATGGTCTAAGAATGGATATAGGTCTAAAGAGAATGGATGCATTTTATGCTTATCAGATTGTAATCATCATTAATGTTGTTTACATCCAGGAGGGATAGAGGGGAAAAGGGGAGGGAGGGATAGAGGGGAAGGGGGGAAGGGGGACTGGAGAGATGGACGAGATAGGGAGAGAGAGGGGGCGGAGAGGAAAAAGAAAGAGATGGAGAGAAAGAAAAGGGGAAAGGAGAAATGAAAGCGGAATGAAGATAGAGAGAAGGATGAGAAGAATAAAGGAAGGAGAGAGAGAGATAAAGAGAGAGAGAGAGAGAGAGAGAGAGAATGGTGGAAATCATGATAGCGAAACATAATAGGAGTAAACTTCAAGTGCAATGTCTACAGCCGCATGTATAGGCCTACATTTAATAAATCCCCGATGTTTGTTGAGTTGATCGAAAACAAATCTACAAACATGTTCTGAAATTACTAGTACGTTCATTGTGATGACAATAATATTCCATCATCCATCTTCCAAGTATGTTGTTGCAATAGTTGGAGATAGATAAAGATTTTAATTTCCTGTACAGGGTGACCAGCATAATTAATGAGAGGCACATTTAACGGTACAAGTAGATTGGTAATCTTTTCAGAAGAATATAAGATATGACACAACATTTGCCATAATTAAATGAGTATTTTTTTTTCTTTCTAGGCGCATTTTTAGTAAAACAATTATGTTGAAGACATACACTGGCTGTGCTCCTTGCAGAAACTATTGTATCGTTGTGTAGTTTCAGAAATGGTAAGCCCTGTTATGCCTAAGCTTTGGAAAATCTGTAGTAAAGTCAGATTGAACACAAACATGAAATTCCACCTACATTTCCCACTTTTCATGCGTTTTTAATGAAATGACACTAATTGTTGAAATGTTTATCAATTTTAAGTTTCATTGATATACAGGACAAATTTGAACTCTTACCCGTAAGATATTCTGGTAACAGAGAATTTGACCCCATATTTTTGGAAGTGTGCTATTCCATTTATGGGGCCACCGTGTATAGATGTTTTTAGGATGAAGTATGTACTTGTATTTCATTCTGAAGAATGTTCTTATAATTCAGGTTGCTACATGTTTTAGAAATGATGAAGGTATTTTTCAGGATGAAATAGATTCCATTGGGATGAAGAATTTACATATTCTCACTTATAACACGATAGGACTTTCGAGAAATCTACTCAAGAGAAACCTCAGTATCCTTTTTCTTATAAAGATTACTAACACGTCATTTTCATGTCTGCATATTTAAAAAGGTAGTGGATAAGGCAATCGAAATTGGTTAGGGCTGATTTAGTACAAGACTCTAACCATTGTGTTATGTGTTATTTAGTCGTTTGGAACTGTATCACACCATTGCTTGTATAGATGGCGCCATTTCTTACTGCGACACGTATTTATTGGGCGCGACGTGCAGGCACCGTCCGATGACTCAATCTTTCACCCATAAATACCCATCCCATTTTGTACTTTCTCTCTTTCTCTCTCTCTTTTCAAGTTCTCTCACAAGTCCTCCCCCCCCTCTCTCTGTCCCTCCCTCCCCCTTCTCTCTCTCGTTCTCTCTTTTTTCCCCCTCTCTCTCTCTCCCTCCCCATCTCTGCCCCCCTCTCTCACTATATCTCTATATGTCTGTCCCTCTATGTCTGTCCCTCTGTCTGTCTCTCTCTCTGCCTCTCACTCTTTCCCCTCAGCCTCCCTCTTCCTATGTATTTTCCTCTGATGTTCCAACATTCAACATTATCTTTGATCTTCTTTACTGTCATGGAATCAGAATGGACATCGCTTTCATTACACAAAAACCTGCATTAGGTCCATGATTTACATCACAATGCTTTTGGATGTTGGTTCATGTTTGCTGATGGACCATGCCCCTCAGTACGTCTCATGGTCTTATTATCGTTCTTCCTTGTGGTTACTGCTAACCTCATCATTATCTATGACTTTCTTGTCCTCCTCCTCCTCCTCCTCCTCCTCTTCATCACCTTCTTCCTCCTCCCCTTCCCCCTCTTCTTCCTCTTCCTCTCCTCCTTTTAATTTTCTTCTTTTGCATTTTCCGGTTCTTTTTCTCCTTCCTCTTCATAACCTCCTTCTCTTCCTTTTCCCCTTCCTCCTCATCTTTCTCCTCTTCTTGCTCCACTTCTTGCTCCTCTTCCTCCTCCTCCTCGTCGTCGTACCTTTCCTCCTCCTCCTCCTCCTTCTTCTTCTCCTCCTCCTCTGGCTTTTCCACCTTATCCTCCTCGACATCCTCCTTCAGGTCGTACTTCTCCTCCTCCTTCTCCTTCTCCTCCTCGTCGTCGTCCTCTGTCTCCTCATCCTCATCTGTCTCCTCCTCCTCTGTCTCCTCTTCTTCCTCCTCCTCATCCTCATCATAATCATCCTCATCAAAGATGGCAGAGCCGACATCTGTTTCGTAATCACTGTCATCGAGGAACTCCATCCGTCCTCTGTCTCCTCCTCATCTGTCTCTTCCTCTTCATCTGTTTCCTCCTCTTCCTCTGTCTCCTCTTCCTCTTCCTCCTCCTCCTCCTCCTCTCCTCCTCCTCCTCCTCCTCCTCCTCCTCATCATCATCATCATAATCATCCTCATCAAAGGTGACAGAGCCGACATCTGTTTCGTAATCACTGTCATCGAGGAACTCCATCCAGTACCGCTCTAGAATTGATGGTCTGGTTCGGCGTCTACATTGGCATGTGCATATTCCAACATCACCTTCCTCGAATGCCATGTCCACCCCGCTTTCATAGTCAGAGCTGTCCATATACTCTTCCTCCTCTGGCTCATTCTCTATCCTCCACCACCAAAGCTCGTCAATCTCCTCCTCCTCATCAGAAGGACCTAATTGGGAGGGCGTTGTAGACGCTGACTCAGCCATCCAATCTTCCATCCAATCGTCATCCTCCTCGCTGTCCTCCTCATCAAGTGTATTTTTTTCTTCTTCTAGGCGCATTTTTAGTGAAACATTTATGTTAAAGACATGCACTGACTGTGCTCCTTGCAGAAACTAATATTATCATTGTGTAGTTTCAGAAATGGTACGCCCTGTTATGCCTAAGCTTTGGACAATCTGTAGTAAATGTCCGATTGAAAACAAACTTGAAATTCAAACCACATTTCCTCCTTTTCAGGCTTTATTAATGAAATGACACTTATTGGCAACAATTAATTTGACCCTACATTTTTTAAATTAGTATGCTAGTCCAAATTTTGGGGGCTACCCTGTTATATCTGTTTGAGGGTGTAGTATGCATTTCATTTTGAAGAATGGTTTTACAATTTAGATTGCTGTATATGTTTTACGAATGGAACATAATGTGTTAGGATAAACTGGATTTCACTGAGATAAAGAATTTAGACATCCTACCTATAACACGATTAGACGTTCGAGAAATCATGTTCAGATTACGTAGTTTATACATCATTTTTAATGTTTGCATATTTCAAAAGGTTGTGGACGAGGCGATTAAAATTGGCTTTGGATAATAATAATAATAATAGTTCTTAAAGCGCTTTTCAGGACTGAAGGCCCTCATAAAGCGCTTTACAGATATATATTTATATATATATATATTATTACTCGGGATGATTTAGTATATGTGTAATATTTTTTTAGTCTTTAGGAACTATATCACATGTTTAATTGTATAGATGGCGCCATTTCTTGATGCGACACGTATTCATTGGGCACCGTCCGATTATAGTTCAATACATTCGGTCCATACCCAAAGTCTTTGTAGTGTAGTGGTTATCACGTCTGCTTTACACGCAGAAGGTCCCCGGTTCGAGCCCGGGCGAAGACTCTCTCTTTTACGCGCGATGATATGTATTTTCTTAATCGTCCCTTCTTCTGGTATGGAATTTGATCCCACAGGGGTCATGTTTTTTTTTTTTAATGGGAGCTAAGTCTATTGCTAAGTCTATTAAAGCTTATCTGCCGTAGTTTACATGAGGGATTAGACCTCTCTGCAAGGTCACTGGACAGGTGGTTATCTCATCAACTCAGCTCTCAGTTAACATAAGAAAAAGAGGATCATGGGGGACCAATGGTCACCGATTAGGCATGGTTTGTTATATAGAGGGCGCAAGTAGCTACCAGTAGTGCAGTGGGCCTTTATATGTAATTTTCTCACTTTAAATGTTAAAGGTATAAGAGACGGGAACATAAGGGCAATGCATGTATATATAGTTGATCCAGAGACAAATGCGGAAATATTTTTTTTGTTTGCAAGACACGATAAGTATACCTGATATTGAGGGTGATTGGAGTTCGATGTCGAAAGGTGAAAGTATGTTTAGTCACGGCACAAACCACAGTAAAGGGGTTTTAATATTGATAGACAACAATTTAGACATAGATGTATCGAATATTATAGTAGACACAGAAGGTAGGTAAGTTTTAATTGAATGTTCTCTACAAGAAGTTAAATTAGTACTGGTTAACGTTCATTTTCCGTCAAGAAATAAAGCAGAACAAATACAATTTCTCTATATGCTTTAATGCGCATTTTGAATAATGACACGTCTAAAGACAGATCGTTTATTAATGGTGGAGATTTTAATTTGATTAGAAACCATGAGTTAGATTTTTTTGGCAGAGTACTCGAAAGCAATCAAAATTAAGCGAACTATTTGAACTGTGAATGATGAAGGGAAAAAACTCCTTTTGGTCCCCCCCCCCCTCTCGCTCTCTCTCTCTCTCTCTCTCTCTTCCTCTCTCCCCTTCCTCCCCCTCTGTCCCTCACCCCTATCTCTCTGTACCTCACTTACCACTCTCTCTGTCCTCCCCCTCCTCCCCCCTCTCTCTCTCTCTCTCTCTCCCTCTCCTCTCTCCCTCTCTCTCTCTCTCCCCCTCTCTCTCCCCATCTCCCTCTCTCTCACTTTCTCTCTCTCTCTTTCTTTTCTTTCAGTGTGTGCGTTCGGGTGGTCTGAAAATCGCATTATTGCACTACAAAAATGCACATAAAAGTTCTGAAGTTAAATACCCAAATATGTATTGGACTGGTAGGGCAACTGAAGGCTGCTATCCATTTGTTAATGTACTTTTCTTCATTTCCTTACTTTCTAGGTGTCCATCAACTCTAATAACCCCCCCCCCCTTTTCCCACACATCTCTCTCTCTCTCCTTACACCGATTTACCCACTTATTCTTCTGTTTGGTTATTTTTTCCTCTTATCCTTCTCCTCCTCAGTTTCAGCTTTTATTCTTCTCTATCTTTCTCACTCCTCAATTTTGTCTACCCTTCTCACACACACAAACACACACGCACACACATACACACACATTCTCACATCAGGCCTTTGTGGGGCACCTGATTGTGGGGTATTTCTGTGCGTTCCAGATATACCTTGTGGTCCCCTACTAGTGGGGTATGTACAACCTGGCGATAACAACCCGGCGGTGTGCTAACGATGTTACCATAAAAAAGTGTGCAAGTTTTAGCACACGCTCACAAAAAGTCATTTATGGGGTACCACTTCTAATACCCCGCAGGGCATAGGACACCGAATATACAGTCATTTGAAAGACTTTACTCTGTGGGGTCCTGAAAAAATACCCCACAAAGTAAAAATGCCTCACAAGGGGTATGTGAAGCGCACATAAAACCCCACAAGAATGCTGAGGTGAGAGCACACGCACCACACACACACACACACACACACACACACACACACACGCACACGTGAAAATCCTAGACTCACACTTGAACAGACTTACACATATTTTGCCTGTCACTGTTTGTCAATGACATGGTAGACAAAAAAATCACCTGTACACTGTTACCCATGAAGTTTGAATACTTTTTCTCGACCTCTTTTTCATGAAATAGTTGTGAAAATAGGATTTATTATTTATAGATGAAGATAACATTGATATATTCTCATAGTTTTATAGATCTAAAGGGTCGTAGAGATTGATCAATAAAGCTCTTAGAAGATAGAAACGTTATCAAGATTAATTGTAACAGTTATTTTTAATGAACGGAGGTGAAGAAAAATATTCCAACTTTATTGGTAACGTTGTATGCATCACTGAAAATCGTTCCAATGCGTCTTCATCTCTATATCTCTCCCTCTTTTTAATGTGTTGCCTTCCTGTGTCTATCATCAAGGAGAAGTGTACTATGAATGTACAATGGTTTATCAAAAGCAAACAATTATACTAATAATGATAAAAAACAGAAATGATGTATTAATTTTAATCGATAAACGCAACTATGTGACATACCGTTTGAGTATTCGTACTTGATCACTGTGCAACGAGCTTTTCAATCTTTGATTTCCAACTTTAATTCAGATATACAATGTAACCTATTCTTGTTTTATCATAACTTTTCAAGCAATGCAATGTGATAACTTACACTTGCACACAGGCGCGTACGCAGGTTGGGTTTGAGTTTGTTTGCTTTTTAATTAAAAAAAATCCTAATGGATAACCCCCCCCCCCCCCCCCCACTTATAGACCAGTTCACGGTTAGCACATTACTGCAATGACCCCGAATATCCACAGATCTTCAAAACATGAAGAGGTCCCACTTTGTACATTGTGAAATAACCACTCCTACAGCGATGGAGGTGCTACATATATAGCCTTTGTTTCCCCTTTTCAAAGAATATTTCCACCTGTGTATCATGGAGTGCACTGAATGTGCATGAATAAATAATGATTACATGACCACGTATCCAGTATTTCGTCTCCGTGTATTTCAAAATTTGTTCTGCAATGACCTTTATCTGCTCATGCTCAGACTGCAACCGTGAACTGGCTTATTCAGCGGCTGGCTGAGTCGTTGCGAAATTTTCGGCCCGATTTCTAAATGCTAACCCCCCCCCCCCCCTTGAAAAAAAATCCTGCGTACGCCACTGCTGGAACATGTACATGAACTAAAGCCTCAGGATTTGAGACTTACAATACAATAACTACAATAAAGTCTACAATATATGATTTTGAAGTAACTTAATTATTTCATAAGTGATAAGTATAACGTCTCTATATGACAACGGAAAGCTGTGATGCACTTTATATAAAGTGATGTCATATTTTATCTAGCAGTTGGCAAACATTTAACAAATCTTGTTTACAATCATTTGCAAACACTTGCTTGCATTCCGATGTGTAATATATTACCTCCTGATCTTTAATAGGAGTACGATCAAACATATCAGTAATATTAATGCGATGGTCGCCAAAATTATACCCCAAAAAAGGGATTTGTTCATATTGTTAAGAAAATATATCATACGTACAATAATTGCAGTTTACTAACTGATAATCAAATAATATACTTTTTTTTATTTATTTACTCGTTAAGTATATCTGTAATGCACTTATAGTTAACGCGAGCAGTATTATACATTTGACCCACCCCGCCCCGGTCCGACTGGCAGCAAAGGCCAAATTTGACCCAATATGGGCGGTTTTCTGCTCTTATAACATACAATGAATAAGTTAGTTGAAAGTAAGTTGAAATGTAGAATGTACAGCATTTTCCATAAGAGTGGGAACATAATACAATACACGATCAAAATGGAAAAAAATGCTCGCAGCCAATCAAATGCAACGATTTCAGTAGCTTATAACAGTTATTGTAACTTGTAACAAGTGCAATAAAACGGATGTGACGTGGGGATGACGTATGGCTCTATTGAATGTGTAAATACCTTCGGTTCAAAGTTGGTTCTCATTCTTGTCTTGTTTGTTTATAGTTCGATGAACTATAAGGTGATTCCATGCATTGTGTTCCTTTTGACTTTGAACATTTATCCAATTATTTGATTTACAAATAAAAATATCTTGATATGACTTTTTACCATTTTATTTAGCTCTTTCGGGTATCATCACGATTATGAAATGGTCAGATCTAGATGTTTTTTTTATTTTTTTAATGAAATAAATGAGAAAGGGCATTTAGGAGACACACTATTTAAATTCACCCTACACAGGTTTTCATTGGTCAATTCTAGATTATTTACTAATTCATTCATCAAATCGCAGAAAGTCATTTAATATAGAGCATAAACTCTACCTTACAAGTGAAGCGGTATACTACATATACACACAAATATTCCAAGAATAAGTATGTCTGAATGATACAAGTTCTATCGATGAATGAACAAAAAAGTCCCGTATATAAACTTTTTTTTTGATGCTTGATCGTTTCGTACGTTGAAGCAACAATGGTTAATTTTCTCACGTTAACAGTTAGGCCTACTGTATTTTGGATTCTTGATTAGGATAATCGAGGACGAAATCAAACAAAAACTAGATGGATCTTCGACTGCAATGCCTCCACCACGAAGCAAATTTACAAACCAAAACAGAAGCAATTTTAAAAATTCAATTGATTGTAATCCATTAACAGGTCCTCAGAATATCATGATTAAAATTGTTCATATACATGTATGACCCTTGGATCTTAGACCTCACGACCCTAACATTTAATCAGTTCATTGGTTCTGCAAGATACATACATGTCCTGAGTTTGATATTAATCCATCCGTCGGTTCTATTGACAATTGACAATTTTTGCATACAAAATGAGCACCAAGACCTTTGACCTTTGACCTAATGGCCCCAAAATCTAATCAGTTCATCGAATCTGCAAGATACATACATGACCCAAGTTTGTCGGTAATTCATCAATCGGTTCTTGAGATAACGCGATCATGAGCTATTTTTGCATACATAATGAGCCCTGTGACATTTGACCTTTGACCTCGTGACCCCAAAATCTAATCAGCTCATTGGCTCTGCACGATACATACATCATGACCTAAGTTTGGCGGGAATCCATCAATCGGTTCTTGGGATAACGCGATCACGAGAACGGGACGTACGGACGGACGGACGACCCAAACACATAATGCCTTCGGCTACTTTGTAGCGGAGGCATCAACAATTAAATGACTTAAAATAACTAAATTTACAATGTGTGTTTTTTTTTTTTTTATAACATCAGCACGGCAAAGTCTCTATTGAAAATTTCATGAAACATTACGTCAAGAAAAGGTGTGGTTGATTTCTACTTCATATAATGTTCGACAGTATACATGTCGACAACTGGTAATGAAATGCCGAACATCTTAAATATGAAAAGTGAATGAGAGGACTATCGGAGAAGGGAAATAAAGTTGTCTACGATAATATTAGGACAGCCTGTTTGCTCACCAAATGCTATCAAGTTTCAATTCTAATGCAAATTATTTAGGTTGAAATTCGCCATATTATTAGCTTCTTCCGACCATGCTGCATGTCGCGCCCCGTCCATCTCTGAAGCAACCCTATTGCCCTCTGTCAGACGGTGTCCGGTGCCCCCAATTCCTAGACCACATTCAGGGCACTTGCCCGTCTGTGTGGCCCCACCACATTCCCCAATGGCGTAGACATGCCCTTTGGGGCATTTATACCAATGACCTTTGGCCAGACCCATTGCGGCGACTACTTCCTTCCTCTCTGTCTCGCTAATTTCCAACCCACCGGACTTGGAATCGATCTTCTTGAGAAGACTTTTGACCTCATCTGCTCGCTGGGCAGTCAAAGCCTTCCCGTCAAAGAGTTGAAGCTCGGCGGCCTTTACCTCTTGGCTTGCTTTGTCATGAGCAGCTGGTTTCTCGTCCAGGATCCGGAAGAAATTTAGGGCTAGGTGGAGCCTCTTTGCTTCTCTGTTGGCGTCATCGGTCTGCTGCTGGGACATCCTGTCGATGGGCTCCTGGCACAACCAGGTTTGCAGGCCAACTATCTCACTCTTCATCTGATTCACGTACTGCTGATTAAGGAATGGAGATTGCAGCGATTGCAATGCTTTAGCCAGGTCTCTCATTTCCTTCAGAAAACGGACTCTATTTTTCAAAGCGGTGATTTGTCCGTGGCTCAACGCAGACGTCGAATAGACCATGCCTTGGAATCGGCGGGCATCGCTTGTGATGGCGAAAATATCCATGTTCTTAAGTCTTTTTTGTAGGTTCTGACGGAGATAGTGGATTGTGTTTTCGTCGCCGAAGATGGTTCTTTTAACAGCATTTATATCATCCAGAGCTTGTTTGATAAGGTTTCCGTATCGCAGATTACGTCTGATCGGTGTTTTGCACCATGGACACTCTTTCAGCTGCCAAATGAAACAAAAAACACTCAGAAATGAATTTTTCATCTATATATTACGTGTACTTTTTTCTCTCTTTAATTTTATTGAAGCAATGAAAAAAATATTCATTAGATCACGTGAAAACATCTTAGACTAAAGAGGCAAACTCTAATTATTCCAAAATTGTGTCGAAACAGAAATGAATAGTCGTCACAAAATTCTTTTTATCAAAACAGCAAAACGGAGTTAAGAGCGAATGAAAAAGGTCAATTGTTTTCCACCGCGTTCTTAGTGTAAATGTATAAAAATGACATAAATCTTCGAAGGAACTGAAGAAAAAAATTAACGCCATACAATTCTTGGCTACCTTAATGGAGATCGCCTCTGACGTGTCCTTGCTTCCACTATCCGTCTTCATCCATTGGTCCAGGGCATCCGCTTCAATCACGTGCTTACAGTCCTCTAACTCCACAAACCTAAACGGGAGAGATGATATGTGCGGAAATTTAATTTCCGTGATTGATCTATTTCAATTTAAAAACAAATATTATTGTTAAAATCGTTGAAATCTGTAAATCGATGGCACACGTAAATAAATAGTAAAGGTAAGATTTGTATATTATGCATGTATTGTCATTATTTAAGAAAAAGTAATTCTTACCGAGCATTAACGTCGTCTTCATCGCCAAAGAGGATCCTAGTAACTTCCTCCTTATCACAGATTCTGCACTTTTTGGGGCACGGTTCACCACAGAGACCGATACAAGGGTGGCCACACTTCAGCAGGAGTGTACAAGGATCATTACAAGCACGTCTGTCGCATGGTTTTCCACATTTTGCCCCACAGCGAAAATGTTGACAACGCCAGGTGCACCTCTCTGCACAAGGGACACAAGGTTCTCCACAATTTTTCTTGCATTTGCTATGCTGACATCTGTTTTCGCACCTCCTTGAGCACGGTGGACAATCCGCAGCACATGTCGACCGGCAAGGGTGACCGCAAACGAGTGTACGATCACATCTTTCTCGGCAGAATGCATGAAGACGTCCTTGGTGGCACTTGCCGCATGAGCCCTTGCACGAATGTTCACAACTCAGAATCTTATCACATGGCTCCGAACAGGACTCAGGACCAGCAGAGCATTTGTCGAGGACATTATGGCCACAAGGAAAGTCAGACCGACGAATTATTTCCTCGCATAACATTGTACAGCTCTTTCCACACAGCTCCTTGCATTGATGTCCGCAATCCAGTCTCCTGCGGCATGGAGATTCGCAGATTACTTCTGCATTGCTTTTGTAGCAAGGCACCTTCTGGACGTGACCACAAGGCATTGTCTTATCAACAGATTTTTTGCACTGCGTGTCACAAGGTTGGTAGCACTGTTTCATGCATCGATGACCTAAGGGGCAAATTGTCCGAGTACACTTTTGACGGCACTTGTAGTTTTCATGTTCCATGTCGGTAGTGTGGCATGGCATTCGGCAAACATGACCACAGGTAAGACGTGCCTCACATGGTAAGGAACAACCGCCTTCTGGGACTTTTGAGAAATCCGCCTCACTTGATACCTCATGTTTTGTCCCTATGTGATTTCTGCACTGGAGCACAAGGGATTTTCCGATGGTACCATAGATTTCAGCGTCCTTCACGATTTCCCTCCACAAGTTTGGCCCACTTGGGTTTTGTTGTGCAAGGAGTTTGAAATTTCCGATGCAGTAGAGACCCTTTCTTGCTCTTGAGAGCGCTACGCAGATTCTGTTGTCGATCTTCAAGAAACCAGTACTTCCCTCCTCGTTGCTGCGAACGAGAGAGAGTAGAATTATGTCGTTTTCCTCTCCCTGGAAGTTGTCAACTGTCGCAACTCTGACACCTTCAAAGTCAATCTTTTTCATCAACCCCTTGAAGGCAAAGAGTTGACCGGAATAGGTAGTCAAGATGGTGATCTGCTCTGGAAGGTAGCCCTGCTGCAAGAAGTACCTACAAAGTCCTACCAAGAACTTGGCCTCGTGAATGTTGGAGTGACTCTTCATTTCATCCACATAGTCTTCCTCAATTTCATGATGAATGAAGAAGATGTTCTTCGTAACCCCTTGGATATCGTCGAACCCCTTCACACAGTCGTCATCTTTGAGAGATGGGTACAATCTGTCCATCCTCATGAGTCGGGAAATTTCAGGCCTCATCCTATGTTGTAGAACCAGTTGCTGATAAGGTACATCATTGTTGATCATACGTTCAAACAGAGATATGTCCAGGTTATACTGCGTACCTAATTTGAAGACCGTAGGACTTGGCCGAAGTTGTTGGTGATCTCCAATCAATATGAGATGTTGACATGACTCAGTCAATGCAGTCACAATATGGGCTTCTAACACCTCTGCAGCTTCCTCGACCACCATAATTCTCGGCTGGATTCTCTGAAGAAGCATATGGAACTTGGCAGCTCCAGTTGTTGTCATTCCAACGACTGAGGCATTTTTGAGGATCTCATAATCTTCTTGACTGCGTGCCTCTCGTAGCTCCTGACAAACATTTGTAAATTTCCGTTGCTTATCTACGAGCTGACGATGAGATTCATGGCGATGTAAATGAGCCCAATAATGGTATAATCTCCATCGCTTTCCTTCTTCAAGACCCCAGACGTCCCTAACGGCGTTTGCCTCTTGGTCGGACATTCGTTCACTACTCCTGAGCTTTCTCTCCAAGTTGTGCTTCCTATTGCTGACCTGCCGTCGGTCTTGTTGCCACCCTCCCGCATCCAAGTTGTCAAGATCGTCAAGTCGAAAAGCCAAAGTGTCATCATCAAAGTTAGCATTCGCATCGCCTGTGAATATTCTATCTTGTGGGTAGTCAACGTCCAGTCGTCTCGTCTCGTCAAGAAGATCCGCCTCCTCTAAGATATTGAGATCTTCTTCTCTTTTGTCATCTTCTTCATGTTTTAGTCCGATATCTTCAGGAACATCAAGCTCCTCAGATGGACATCTCTTCTGAATATAACCAAGGAGCCAATGGACAAGGAAGGATTGCCCATCTACTTCAAAGATATTTCCTTGGTTAAGGCTTGTTTCTTGTGCGTCAGTCATGTGCTTCATAAGTACTCTTTCATGGAGTAGGCCCTTCTTCGTATGGTTAATCTTGTCCTGAAGGCCTTTGACTTCTCTCCCAAGACTTTCGATTTCTCCATGAACCTCCCCAATTCTACGTCTCACGTGACGAGGTGTCTCTTCTCGAAGCTTTGAGCTCCTGAGTGAATTGAGGTTGAACCGCTTCAGAGCCTCGCTAGAACTTCGGCCACCGACTCTCACGATACCTTCACTGTTATAAGTTGCAACTCCTTCCAGAAACTGATCTAAAGCATGGTTTGTATAGCAAACGAGTAGGATTGGTCTGTTCGCATGGCCTGTGCGTCCGGCATGTCCTAGAACTTGAGCTTCTTTCCAAATTTGCTTGTTTTGGAGAAGAGTGTGAACTATCTTCAACCCGATGTAGGTTTTTCCAGTGCCAGGTGGGCCTTGTATGACCGTCATCTCTTGAGTAAGTGCTGCTTGTACGGCTCGAAGCTGGGACTCATCAAGACCAGTGTTCCCTAGTCTTGTCCATTCACGATCATCAAGAATCCTCACGGTCTTTATACGCATTGTAGTTTGCTTTGCGTTTGGAACATCACCAGAGACGATGGGTGATAGGTCATATTCAATGGAGCGATCGTTCCGGATGTAGGCAGGTGGACGAATATTTGGTGATGCTGATATGATGTAATCAGTTAGGGGCATTGACTGCTCAGTGACATGTTGTATGCGGCTCAGGACATGTCGGTAAGCTTCGAAGTATGCTGAAGACTCTGCCATGATGAATGTCTTTTCAGTGAAGATCTCTGCAATTTCTTCGTCCCTCTCGAGCTTGATTTCAATGAAGCCTTTAGCCAAATCATCAGGCTTTCGGTTTGCAACTGTGCCGAAGATGAGGGTCTTGAAATCATCAGGTGACAAGATGACGAGTGAACCATAGATCAGTCGCTTCGACGATTGCCAACGAACGCCTGTGAGTTTAGACTCATCGAAGTGAATTCTGAACGTAACTCCAGTTTGTGAGTACAGTGGTTCGTCCAGTGTTACATCATAGTATAGACGAATGTCTTGAACGCGTTTATCGCATTTCCCTGGTCGAGCTGTTGCGTTCTTATACCCACTAATGCCTTCTCTAAGTGGGCGGACAAAGTCTTCTCGAAGAAGACGAAATTGGACATCAAGATAATGTTCGACACTTTCATACTTTCCCTTCTTAATGTGTTTTCGAAGGTAAAGACGAAGAGAATTATCTGTAAGTTCATTAGACGTTGGAAACACACTGAGCTCACGGAAATTATCTGGAAGAGGTGCTGTGGATTCGATGTCCGTACGTGGCTTCTTCAGCCTTTCCTGTTGGATTGGCTCATTCAATTTCAAAAGTTGGCGTACCTCTTCTTGAATTGTCTCATCGACAAGTATTTTCCTCTTCTCTGCGTATTTGACAGCCTCTTCAAGGAGTGTCGCAGCAACTTCAACATCTGTCAAGTACCTTGGAAGGCGTTGCTGTAGCTCTGACAGGACATTTGCGATATCCTGAATGCAACTAGGCATGACCCGTTGTCTGGTTTTGCTTCTCTCGGTCCTCATCGCAATAAGATGGAGGTTGAGATGGTTGCTGATGAACTTTTCCATTCCGAGCATATCTAACAGCATGTTGATAGTTTCATTGGACACCTGCGCCCGGCAGACATGGTGTAAGACCTGAAACAACAGCGATATCAGGTCATAGCGTATATCCGTCATTTCTAGAAGCTTGCTCAGTCCTTGCTTGAGAGAACCTAACTCTTGTGCTGCGTCGTCAGGGTCTTTTGACAGGAGCTGTTCTAATGTTTTATAGCCTAAAGAATGAACTACACGAGGGCCCCTTGCTTGGTTGTGGCGAGGTTCGCCGCGCCGATCCCTACATTTTAGAAAATTTGATAAAGAGCAAACAAAAGTAATATTCTACGTTATTAGAAGAATAAAAAGTCAATTGTATATCCTGTCCAGAAAGTGTTGGTTTATGAGAAAATATCAGATTTTTATTGATTTTTCAATTCTATGCGAAATGCAAATTTCTCACCACTTGTGTCACAATATTGCTATTCTTTGAACTTCATGTTCATGTTCTCTTCCTTTGTTTCCCGTTCATGAGTCTCATACGGGTTGTACCCAAACTAATGCAAGGAGATATTAATTGGTAACATATCAAAATTACACAACCATCCTCAACGAAATTTCGTAGACTATGATGTAGAAGTGTCGCCTGAACTAGATGTGAATTTCACAAGGGTTTATGCTACAACTGCAAAGTTATGACTGTTTTGCTATTAAAGACATACGAATTTCTAAATGGTACATTTAACGTATATATTTCGATTCTGCATTTCACTACAAGAAGTCATTCTAACTCATAATTTCTTGGTGAAATCACTACTGAATCATTCCAGATTTAGATTATTGCATTCGTAAATTGCCATGAATATGAGTTTAAAATATATTTAAAGTACAAGAAACAAAAGAAACTATTCCAAGAATTTTTTGATGCAAAAAATATTCTTACTATCTTCAGCTTATTCATATTTCGATCACCATGACAACCGAGTTCTGTTTTACAATAAAATAACAAATTTATTACTTATTTAGCTATTCAAATATCGATTTCAAGCTTAGTAACGAGCATTAAACATTGATTTTAAGATATGCATTCTCAAGAGATCCATTAACATTACGTAACATGTCTCTCCGCATTATATTTAATTGATTTGATATGATCATTATGTCTTTATGTAAAGACACTAAAGATATTTTGTTACCGTAATGCTTGCGTAAATTACATTAACATAAATAGTGACATCCCTTTAGTAACGAGAATTTAAGTTTATTAGAAAGCTAGCCAGTAAATATTCATGGGCAATGTATACACTTAATTTGGTGGTGCAATTCAACGCGCGAAATATGGAACAGATACAAAGTACTTCGCTTTACAAAAATGATAATATCTTTTTTTACATTGGACCTTTGTAAAATTCACGCAAATATTAGGAGATATAACTACAACATTGCCTAAGAAATTTCGCTGAGAATGGATGAGCACATTGGACCTTTGTAAAATTCACGCAAATATTAGGAGATATAACTACAACATTGCCTAAGAAGTTTCGCTGAGAATGGATGAGCACTTATTGAAGATGTTACCAATCAAATTCTCGTTGCATTTTTTAGACACCCCATATGCTAGTCCATGTTCAAAGTTTAGTCAGTGACTTCCTTTAATAATAATAATTCAGCACACTGAAATTCAAGTTCGTAAAACTAATAGATAGCATGGCTTTTGTAATGGTCCAACATTTATCCAATTGCATGGTATCCCTTATAAGGTCGTTATCTCGCAAACTTTAAGTTTAATTCTGCGACGTTGGAATAACAATGTCGTCAATTGTCCTAAAAGTTATTTATGAAATAAATGTCACTTCCATAAAGGTCTGTAACCATTTTCAGTAAATCCATTTTGCGTTTTGTGATTCATTTATACCTCAGTCAAACCGTGACCGTCCGCAGCCGACATCAAAAAAATAAATTCTTGACCATTCAGTGTAAAATGCTTTCTATGCGTAATTTTGGTGTTCTCTTCTAGAGTTGGTCTTGTCAGTGTGACTGAGGTATCAGAAGTCATTTCAATTTGCGGCTCACCCATTTCCCTGAGCTCCAGCATCGTCATGTTCCTTTTCTTCTCCTCTTGGACGGTTGCCTATTCCTCCTTCCCTTGCTCCTATTTCTCCCCTTCTCCGATGGCGATCTTTTCCGTCTTCCTCTTTATCCCTTCTCCATCCCCCCGCTCCACGGTCACCTCCTCTGGCATCCTTTCCGTGTCTCCATCTTCCTCTTTCTTCCACTCTCCTATCTCGACGTCCTCCGTCTTTGTCCCTTTCTCTCCTCCATCCTCCCCTGTCATCTCCTCGCCTCCCTCTTTCTCTGCCACTTTGGTAGCAGACCCACTGTCCACCTCTCTCATGTTCTATCCTCCGAGGTGTGTTATTCACTTTACATCTCCTAGAAAAGAACATAAACAGCAGTGTAATTTACCGAGAGAGCATTTAACACTTGGTATATATATATATATATATATACATGGTTTTATAAAAAATAAAAGTATTATATTCATTGCATACCCGTTGTCCTATAGAACGCCCTATTTCATCAACAACTTAAGTTTCGGTTAACACCTTATGTTTACGTTTAAAGGTTTATAATTCATAATACCCTAGTATTAGGCCTTCCCAATAGATCCAGAGACGGTGGTAATCGTGGAGTTGCCAGTCAGTCGTTAGGCTCGACTAGCTGTGTTTGGGCTCAATGAAACATGCTTCGGCCCCATGTGCTCCTTGGTCAAATTCTTCAAGTACAACAACCAAACTCGTAGCTTCGACCATGTCCCTAACACCATGCCTAACCCGACACCTAACACTTAATATTATCTTGGTTAAAATAAGAATCTGGAGCAAAGGTTGCCGGAGCACTACCGGGATTATTTTTATCTTGAATTTATAAAAGGGAATAATTATTGTCCGAGGAAGCTTATTTTCTTAGAGACGATGATGCTTTGGGGGTGGTTGTCCGATGTTGCTTGTCCAGTGGCGGGTGATCTTGTGTGAGGAGACAGAAGGATGCCATTTTTGCATCCGGTTTGAATTTCTTATTAGTAAAGGTTTTCTTTGGCGGTTTATTACCAAGCATAAAATATACACATTTATCGACATTTTCACGTTAGTACGCCAATTATTAATTATTCCGCAGTTTTTCTTTCTCCTTTTACAAGCGTAAAAATAAACCGTATATTATATATTTAGTAGGTGCACGGCACACAAGAATAACAATGGGACCTTCTGCCTTCTAGCTAGGCGCTCAGCAAATTAGATTGAAGAAGGGTGATAATAACATATTATGTTATGCATGGCCTGCTGGCAAAGCAGTTTCATAACTGAAGTGGCTACCCTGGGTAAATAAAACGACGTTATTATTATTATTATTATTATTAACCCACGTTTATTCACCATTGATTGGCATAGACCAGACAAAATTAATAAATTATGGAATATAAATTCGATATTTTGTGCTTTGGTCAAAATAATATTACTTTCGAACGCTCATCGTTTACAATGCATTCTGGGATGAAAGTTCTATACTGCATGAAAGTGACATCATATAGCCGCAAACGAGGCGAAGGCAGCTGTAGCATACCCCGCCCCCCCCCCCCCCCAGTGGCTTTCAATTTTCGCATCACAGGGTAGATGTAGGGAATACGAGACAGTTTCATAGGTTTCACGGCAAACCGCTGCACAATACAATTGCATACCGTACAGACGAAGGGGTGCCGGGGGGCACGCGGGCGTGAAGTTAGCGACCGTCACTAATTTCACGCACGCGCGCGCCCGCACCCTTTTGTCGGTATGGTATGATTCGTATGCAATTGTATTGTAATTGTGCAGCGGAAACCTGTGAGAAAGTGTATATTATAATGTCTTCGTTTTTAGGAAAAATACTCCGAAAAAGATAAGAAAATTGACACGAAAGGCTAAGAAACATAATGACTTTTAAATCATGACCAATTTTGAACAATTGATGAAGATTTATTTTAATATTATCTCCACGCCGGAGTTACGGGTCAAAAATGGATACGAAAGTTCACTAGCGCCGTCAGTGTATAGTAGCATGGTTTTGCACTGAAATGGACAGGTTTGTTCCAAATTTGTTTAGGGAATACGGGACGGACACCAGCAATAGACGCTGCATCGTCCACTTCCGTGTTAAGTACATGGCACAAGAAAATAACGCTAATATATAGGATATGCCCCCTTTTTTAAACTGACGTAAAGAATAAAATTCACTTCCTAATCAAAATGTACTCACTTAAAAGATCCCAGTTAAATAAACGTTAATAAAGTTCGGGACTTTTAAAACCTAAACAACTATAAGAAATTTAAACTAATGATGTCTAATGACGAAACCGACATAAACGCAAAAAACTATATTTATAATAAGCGAATAGAAACGAATAGACCTACTGAAAAATCATAAATCTACATAAACATAACATCCCCCCCCCCCCGTAAAACATAAACGAAGAAATAATTATATATATTATATATATATATTATATATATATAATATATATATATATATTATATATATATAAATATATATATATATATATTTTTTTTTTTGTTGAAATCCATATATACATACAAGTTTTAAAATATAAAACACATTTCAAATGATAAAAAAGTAAGTAAATGTGTTATGTATAGACAAATGATTGGATAGCCCATTCCAGGACCATTTTCAAATGGTCCTGTTCTTCCATGGGGTCCAATTTTTCTAATCCAATTGGTCGTATGAATGTCAAGCGGAATGTATTTAAAGTTCTAGTCTTGTTTGTTTGACCTCGTATTTTCTCTCCTTTGCTCATTTACATTACTGCTTATCTGTATACTGTTAATATATTTTGACTTTGCAATATCAACTCTTTTATAAGATAGAGATACCACCGTATACGAGATTAGTAGATCATTGTTTGTTTTGTTGGTGTTGTTGTTGGGGGTCTATTCACATGAAATTGTCATTATATTATATATTAATCTTGCTGAAATTTAGAAATTTAAATTGTGGCAGTGTGGTTTGTTCTTGGCGGATGATTCTGTTATTTTCTCGGGATTTTATTGATCAAACTTTATGGATCAATGAAGCTTTGAGATAATATCAAAAGTATCTGTCAGGATTGGGTCGTATTATCGGGATCATCTCATGGGGAGGGAGAACAAATACTGTTCCAGCTTTGTGTGCAACAGTGTATTACATTCCTTAAAGGTACTATGTCCCATTTTCAGGCCAACAAAATGAAAAGGTAAAATTCCAACGGCATTTGAAAGATAATACTAATTTAGAACTTCCCTAAAAAAGGTGGGGCTTGAAATGTCTTCAAGTGGGAAAATAACGACTATTAGTTATCAAATCGATTTAGGAGCTATAAAGCCAATAAGTAATAGTCTTGATTTTCAGACCATTGTACTGAATGGTCATACGTTTTATGCTGCGCAAAGTTTCAATCAGTTTAATTTTGGCCATCACAAGAAGTGGATATTGATGTAGACAAAATAATGCTCATGTACCCTTTACCGCTCATTTTATGTATGTTATTACCAAAGAAGAAAAAAAGCCAGTCAGTCACTCAATAGTGTCTGACAGTGAAGTCTAGCAAGTAAACGGGTTTCCTTGCATAATTGTAATATTATGACACTGCTAACGTTTAAATTTCACAGATAGGACATACATGACTTATATTCATAATTCCTGCAAAGTTCTACAGAATTTGAGGTTAGCTGCAAAAGGGACATAGTACCTTTTAGAGGCCCGTGGTCGTATCTTCTTGGCCTTCTTCTGTTTAATTTTCTTTCTTCACATACATCAGTATGTTACTGCCGTATTCAGGCTCTTTGCATAGTAGTCATACAAAGACACAGATCCATATACTGCTAACACGAGTGACTTCGCGAGGCATGTGTAATACAACCTCTCAGTGGCGTATTCAGACATTGATAACAAGATGAAGGAAATCTACGTCGGTTCCCCAAATGTCTATTGTCTGAATTAAGGCAGGTTCCCAGAAGAAAAGTGAAATATATTTATGTGCACTTCTGTCCGTTTTTTTTAGACGTCCACTGACATCAAGAATGTTTGGGGTTTTTATAAATGATTTTCTGAGCCTTAGAACGGGGTTGCGTATCGAATCAAACACCCTCGTTTCAATGATTAATCAAATATTTGATTTTGTATTGCTTTACACTCAAAATAATCACAGGATTGTCTGGGGTGCAAGGTCCACCTGCTCCATATATGTTGTATGTGTTATTTTGCGGATAATACCACTTTCCGTTCTACCATTCATCTTCAACAATAGAATGTTTCAGCACCGCAGGTCTTTGGTAATTCCTATCCAGTTCTCATGCATGTTCAATAAATATTGCGCAATGTCAACATGCAGGTGTGACGTGTCGGGATGGTCTTGCGCAATCCGCTAACTTTCTGCATCATGCAATATGGGTACTCAATGAATGAAACTAGAAGCTTTTTTTAACTTGGCGTTGTTGATCTTAAAAGAAAATTTCTTCAGTGAGTAAGCTTCTCAACTCATATTAGGTCCTATCAATCCAGTAGTTCAAATAGAAGAGGTGGTTGAGTTTAGTGGCGTGCTACAGGTGGAATGGGCGGCTCAAGAAATTTGTAAAAGAGGGGGAGAGGCAATTAAGAAATAATTGTAACAAACAAATCAATTTATAAAAACACCCACTGGTACTCTTCAGCCAAGCGTACAAACGCTTGTGACCCACCCATCACCTCCCCTTCCCCAGAATGGGCCCCTGCATGGGTCTAGTAAATAAAGGGCACTGTCATTATTTGAGGCCAGTGGTCTTATTTGGTGGCTGGCATGCGAATAGACCATTTCGTAGTTAGCACATGGATCATATATATACGCCTACTACCCGGAGACGGGTTTAGCACAGAATATTCTTGAAGAAACATACAGACATGCACTTTGGCTTATTTTTTTATTTAAACTAAAATGAAAAATTTTCAATTTCTTTTTATTATTAAGTGGTTAAAAAAAGCCTTTTCGTAGTTAGCACATGGGTCAAATGATCCCAATAAACCACAGATCCTTTACTCATGGAGAAGCCCCACTTTATGTATTTTAGAATAATCAATGCCAAAGTCATGTATGTGCTTCTTGAAAAACTTTCGTTTACCCTTTTGTATCATAGAATGTACCGTAGGTGCACACATGAATAATGATTATATAACATGAGCACGTATTCCTGTCGGTGGGTTTTACAATTTTATCAGAAATTACCTTTATCTGCCAATGCGCAGATAGTATTTACGAAAACGCACCCGCCCCTTTCGCTCTCTCTCTCTCTCTCTCTTTATTTCCTGTACGACTCGACTGAGGAACCCCCCCCCCCCCCGTAGACTTATAACGACTACGCAAACAGATGAGTCCCCGGTTACGCCCCTGTCCATCATCCCGGAACCCCATACAATGATTCTTTGGTTCATCATCTCTCAAGTTTTGACTGAAAGTAAACTCAATGCAAATTATATCCACGATGTTTGACAGCAGCACCCCGATCCCACATCCCCCAAAACCCAACCTACACATTAACCATTGTATCCCTTTTTTCATTAATTACTAGTTCTGGCTTTTTGTTTTTATCTTTATTGTTATACCTCTGTCATTATTTTCATAATTACACCTATCACAACTTATTTACCATAAAATATTAATGATCATGTGAGATCAATAGCACATTGTAGATTTGTTCTGAAAGGTACAATTGGTTATCCATGATGCGAATGAGAAAAAGACCACCTCGCTTCGTGAATATGAGGTGATAGTTGACAGAATATTTGGTAGTTGGAATGAGCTGAAGCCTCTAAGACCCTCCCACCCCCTTCGATACACACACACACACGCACACACACACCCACGCACACTGACAAACACATTTATTGCCTCGTATGTATGACACCCCCCCCCCCCCCACTATTGTAGATGGATCAACGCCCCTGCAAATGAGGGAAACCACTGACTCGATACACAGTACAAATACCACAGTGGTAAAAGTAGAACAAAGTTCGGAGATAAGCTTCATCAGTTTATTCATATTCTGATTCGTTACATGATTCTTTACAACAAGAACATAAAGCAAAAACGTGGGTTCTATAGGCATGTGAACGAAACAGCCAAGAAGCAATCGGAAATGATATAGATTATGCATTACATATGACTTGATGTCTTGATGTATGCTGTCACGTTCGAAACGATCAAAATAAAACGAAATTGGATCAATATTGTTGAAAATCACAAGCACCGCAAACGAAAATGAGATCATTGGACTCCAGACACATATGGCATGAAAGGTTGGTCCAAACGAACAAAAAAGGAGATTTGTTTCACTGTTCTGTTTCATGAACACGTGTGAGTTTAAACCTAGGTTGAATAAATCTCCATTATAAAATTGAATACCTATGAATCATGCAATTATAATAAACGACCGTGAGGATACAAAATCAATATTATACTATAATGCCAATCTTTCTTCCCGGATTCTGATAATAAGAGTAATTTCTCAATATTTTAGTACTTGTCATCAGCATATATTCTTCAATTTGGAAGTATATTCTTTCATCGGCTTTCATCTCATACACTGCTCTTCTTTTTTAACCTCAACAACGTTAATAGTAGATCACCGATATTAGATGAATGACCAATGAGTATACATATCTCTTTTATCTTAATAATATCATCGCTTCTAATTAAACCTATCAATTACAAAAAATCATGAGTAGTCAAATGAACTTTAAACATGAAAAGTGACTGCATGGATCAATACGCTACACAAAATAACATTCATGCACATCAATTTTCTATTTACATCTTGGGGGATATAATGGGAAAATCGTGATTTTTAACAATGCTTCATTTTCTTAGGAGGATGGTGGTTCATGTAATTCCAACATAGAGACAAAATTCATATGTTAATCCTTATAATTCACCTTTCACAGCCACCGTTAAGAGTAGCAAACTTTTAATTGCACAGCATCATCTCACGATCGACTTGCCAACACTGTACAACAAAATGATTGATTTCCACTTCGCTGTGAGAACCAACGAGACCATACTGCTAAAGTTGACCTGACATGACGCTAGAAGGGATGTTGCGGTAGGGCTTCTAGTAAAATATTGCACTAAAACAACTTTGAATCGTTTGGATACGATCAATATTTTTTTAAAGTTCAATTTTTGTCCGATTGTGATACTCTAATCCTGCTTGATGTAAGCTAAAGTACGCCTCATCAGTGCATGTATTAAGCGAAGATCAAGAAAGTGGAGATCCATTTACAACATATTGATACGGCTTTGTATTCTTATAAAGACATATATCTTTCCGTGTTCTTCTACACTATATGGTACTATTCAAGTATCAATCAGGGAAAAGGCGCGTTAAAAAAAACATATCTTTCTGCGCCGGTATAGGATTGAAAAAATCCGCACCTAAAATGTACAGATTGTGTGATAGCATGGACAGCGGAGGAATATAATTTGTTCATAAAGTCGAGTGATGTTTTAGTATTCGGAGGGCAGCAAAGCGAAGTATTATAGAGCAAATGATCCACTTGAAATAAAGACAGAAAATATAAAGAATATTTACATAGGTTATGAAACGATTAAGTGTACATCACAAAGCGCATGCAATAATGATGGTTGACATGTACTTTGATGCAGTCTCTTAAACTAGCATTTCTCTGCTCAGGCCAATTTTATGCCCCTTAACCCTAAACAGGCCGGGCTATTTGAGGTCTTAGTATGGCCGGGGGGGGGGGGGGGCATTATGGCCCCCTCTTAAGATCTCGGCCGCGAAGAGGCCGTTCGCCGCGAAAATTTGCACGCATGTCAAGTGAAGTGTATAGAATAATATGATAATTTCAATTTTTTGAAAAATTCACTCATATGCATATTTATGGTAATTTATGCAAATAAAGTCATAAAAATCACATTTTTACCCATAAATCATATATTATTCATATTTAAGCATTCTTTTTCACTACATATATTAATTAGACCATTCTGAATAATAATACGACAAATTTTTTTAGAAGAGCCAGCTTATTCCTTATGTTATTCCTTGTTTTTGTAATTTCTTATGTATTTCATTGTTTTTTTTAACCTATGTATTTCATTGTTTTTGTTGTTTTATTTCATTTCTTACTACAATTCAACTATTTTGACTCCAAAAACAACCATCTTAACTTTAAACAAGACCCAATAACCCATGTTTGATCTGTTTTTAGGAAAAATGACTTTTCCATATGTTTTGTACACAAATCACGAAAATGAGCGATTTTCGGGCTGACATGCAAAGACAAAAGGTCACGTGACCTTGTAACCGCAGGTCCGATTTTCAAAAAAGTTCTTTTAAAAGTTGCGCAAGACTCGAAAGAAAAAAGTCAGCGAGCGGCGGGGCGCCATCCGTATGCGTTCCCGAGCAATCAGAAAAATCGTGGAGGGGGGGGGGCCATAATGCAATTGTAATCCTTTAAATGACACATAAAATACTTGTTCTTGTTGTCGTGCATATTGTAGTCTAGCATATCTTCTAAAAGCCCTTAAAACAAATAATGAAAGTTAATTCCAATGAAGGATACTGAAACCGATATATTATAAACAGATTTCGAGTTCGTTATTCTTTTCTAACGCGTATTCCTAACGCGTTATACATTTCAATAAACTCAATAACAGCTTAAATTAATTACAATCTTTCAATACAGCACATCTGGGTAACATCAAAGTTACGAAGGTCAGTAGAATTCATAAACCGTGTTTGATATTGAATGTAAACATATTCCTGCAAAATGTCTAGGAATATCTGATGTACGAAGATTGTGATCGCATATTCAGGCGTAAAACGGGACATAAGACTCTTTGGTGGACTCCTCTGCGACCACCCCTTCTACTTCGACCTCTTCTTCCACGTCTTCGTCCCCTAACCGGCTGGTCTTGCTGACCACCTATACCTCGTTGACCAGGCAGAAGTCTCTAAGCGGGCTCTCTCCTGCTCAGCCTTCTCCATGTCGCAGTCCTCGCACGCCCCCTTGACGGCTGAGTTGACTCTACTCAGGAGGTGCTCGTCCTCAATGCTATTGCGAGCATATTGTAGCTTTTCCACGATTCGCGGCTTATTCGCTTATTAAGATTCTCTCAAGAGATTATTGTAGCAATGAATCGACTGGATTGGTTTTTCGCATCCTGGGCAGGTTTTTACATTGAAAAAGATTTGTTTTTTTACAGGAAAGACATGGTGCACCATGGCAGGGCGCATTCGTGGCCGCACACCAGTTTTGTCTGACATGTCTCAATGCAGGGGTGATGGTAACGACCTTGTGAGCATTTTCCACAGATCCATTTGCACTTGTGTCCACATATCAAGATCTTCTTACAAGCAATGTAGCATGCGTCGCTTTTGTCGCAGCATTTAACTGTTACCTCATGACCACATGGCCAGTCATTTCTTAAGATCATCTCTGTGCAGTTCTCTGTGCAATTCACCCCGCACCTTTCCTTGCAAATGTGGTCACATGGAAGCTGCTTACTGCATCTTGCTTTGCATACTACTCTTTCTACTTCGGTCGAACAAGTTATCTTCAATCTGTGACCGCAATGCAAGGTTTTCTCTACAAGTTCGGAACATTTACTGTTATGGCAGCACTTCTCTATGATTTCGTGTCCACATGAACGATTTTTTCTGGTTATCTTTTTGCACCGAACATAGTCAATACTTCCGGAACAGTGAAGAGTATGCGTATGTCCACATGGCAGGGTTTTCTCAACATTTTCCTTGCATCTGATGTTCTTTGGATCTTTGTGACACGCTGCTTGGCAGGTATGGTTACATCCCAGAACTTTCAAGACTATCTCATCACATCGTCCACTTCCATTACACTTCTCTGTCTTTCTGTGGCCGCACTGCAGTTCCTTGTTGATGATGACCTCGCACTCCGTTTCAAGTCCCGCCGTTGACCTGTGGCAAGGAATAGATTGGACGTGTGAGCAACTTAAAGTTTTGTCAACCTTTTCCTTGCACTTGTAGACGAGATGCTTTAGATCCGTTGGGTGACACTTTATTCGACAAACGTGTCCACAGTCCATCCTGGTATCACAGTCTCTACTACATCCTCCTAATGGTACCTTCTTGAAGTCATCGGCAGTTTTCACCGCTGTCCCCTCTTCTGAATGATTGGTGCATTGCAGCGTAAGGGAATCTCCGATAGATCCCATTGCTTCTAGATCTTTCACTATTCCCTTCCATAGGTCACTCTTTTCTGCAAAGAGGGTGAAGTTTCCTACGCAGTAGAGCCCTATCTTCGCTCTTGACAAGGAGACACAGACTCGGTTCGAAATCCCCAAGAATCCAATTTGCCCATGACTGTTGCTCCTCACAAAGGACAGAAGAATGATATCATTCTCTTCTCCCTGGTAGTTGTCTATTGAAGTAACTTTCACTCCCTCAAACCGGCTACGGTCCATCATCTGCTTGATTTTCAGGAGCTGACCTGTATAAGCTGTGAGGATTGTAACCTTATCAGGTTCATACCCCTGCTGCAGGAAGTAGTAACACAATGCTACTACGAGTCTGGCCTCATGGAGATTGTAGTGGCTCTGAGTATCGTCCATTTCATCTTCTGGTTCTGCGTGATCTAGGAAGAAGATATCCTTTTGAACTGCTTTCACATTTCCGTATCGCTTCACCGTGTCATGGTCTTGGAGGTTGTCGTAGAAGTTCCTTCTCATCAGATCCGACAGCTCGATACGCATCCGATGCTGCAGCTTAAGTTGTGAGTAAGGAAATTCGTTTTTGATAAGTCTTTCAAACAATGAAACGTCCAGATGATACTTCTTTGCCAGGTAGTACACGTTTGGTTTCGGTCGAAGTTGTTGATGATCTCCGATGAGAATGAGCTGTTGACATGATGCATTTAATGCCGTGATGATGTGTGCCTCCAGTACCTCAGCTGCTTCCTCTACTACTACGATCTTTGGGCGGACTCTATGCAAAACCTTCTGGTGATTAGCCGCTCCAGTTGTAGTCATACCGATTATAGTTGCCTGTCGAAGGACTTGGTATTTCTGTACGTGTTTTGCTTCATCTAGCTCACCACAACGTTGCTTGAATTTAAGCTCATTTGCTGGCAGTTTCTCTTTCAACTGTTGCAGATAGTTGCGCAACCAAACATGGTAAAGTGCCCATCGATCGTTTGGACGCATACGCCAAACATCCATAATTGATTGAAGAGCACGTGGATCGAGAACATCTTTGCCAGATATCTTTCTTTGGACGTACCTCCGCAAGGTACCGTCCTCTGCTTTGTTCAGATCATCTAAGTCAAGGCCAAGGAAAGGGTGGCCTTCGTCTTCCTCTTCATCAGAACCTTCCTCATCATATTCGTCATCAAACATTCTTTTAGACTCGATGGCACTTCGTTCATATTCTACCTCGACTGTTGCTCTATTTGCCACAGGATCATGCTTTGTGCTTTTTCCACTCTCTTCTTCTTGCAGGTTATTTCTCTGTATAAGAGTATCCCGATTCCATTGCTGGTTCAAATCTCTGTCATTATGATGTTCACACAGAAGCCACTCTACGAGCCAAGAGTTTGATTGTTTCAGATGAGAAAAACGCAGGAGGCTGTTGTAATGCTGCCGTGACATAAAAGGGCCTAGTTCGTTCTCGTTGATTATCCCATTTCTTGCACCCTCTATCCTAGCTTGCGTTCTCTCCACACGCCTCTTTGCGGCGACAACTTCATTCTTGACATGACGAACCCTTCGTTGAACGTACTCTTCACCGTGTATTCCCCTCCGACCAACCATCCGATTAAGGTTGAAGGGCTGCAACTTCTCACTCTTGCTACGGCTTCCAATTCGAACGATTCCAGTCTGATGGAATGTTAAGATCCCTTCCAGAAACTGATCTAGCGCATGATTTGTGTAGCACACGAGTAAGATAGGGCTAGGGTTTTCTTTACTTGACCAGACTTCTCTGTTAAGGAGAAGAGTCTCTATAATCTTCAGACCTATGTACGTCTTGCCGGTACCTGGTGGACCCTGTATGACAGAGAGTTCTTTGGTGAGAGCTGTCTTGGCAGCTTCATATTGTGATTGGTCGAGCTGTACAGCGTCAATTTCGGGCCAAGCACCATCGTCAAGCACGTCAATTGTTGGAGAGCATCCTCGTTTGTCTTTCAGCAGAGGTGAGATATCGATACTACATGAACTGATGAACATTTCACCGTTTTCAGTTACCATCACATCTTGGAGATACCTGGGTGGCTTTACATCATGAAACATGCTCAAAGTGTATTGGGAAAACGGCAAGCATGGGCCAGACATTCCCTGGAGACCAAGAAGAACTGGGCGATAAGCTTCAAAGAAGACGGATGACTCTGCCATCACAAACCTCTTGTTCAATAGACATGATGCATCTTCTCGGTCGACCAATGCTATGGCTACCATTCCCTTTTCTAGATCTTCTACGTCCCGATTGGCCACTGTAGCAAATATGAAGGACTTGAAATCATCCGTTGATAGGATGAGCAATGATCCGTACATGAGTCGTTTTGTCGAATACCATCGGACATGGGGTAACTTCTTGAAAGCCATGTAATGTGAAATTCCGGAGAAATCACGGACAGATTTTTTGTAGTGAGCTTCCTCGTAGATTCGCACATCCTGAAGTTTGGCCCTTCTGTCAGGGTTGGCCTTCTTAAAAGTTAAGTACTCTGATATCCCATTGCGAAGGGGATAGATGAAGTCTTCCTTCAGGAGTCTGAACTGAACATCCAGGTAGTGGTCTGCATCAGCATATACACCTCTCGTCAGATGAGGACGGAGAAACGGCTGATATCCAGGTTGCAATTCCTTGACAGTGGGAAGAATGTCTTGCTGGCGGAAGTCGTCAGGGGGTGGGTTCTTAGAAATGCGGTCCATCTGTCTTTTTGTATCCCTTTCTTTTTCAATGACCTCAATGTGATTACTCAAAGACTTAATTGACTTCATGATGTCATCACGTTTGTCGTCTTGATCCATGTCTGATACAGCATCGGAGATGAGAGTGACTGCAACTTTGAGATCTGAAGCACGGCTTGGCAAACTTTGCATGGCTGAGAAGAAGACAGTGGTGACATTCTTCAAAATTTTTAACCGCCTTTCGTCGATTTTCTCTTCTGGACGCTTGACTTTGGTCAAAAACGTGAGTAAATGCTGACGACAGAGTTTGGAGTCCATAGCCATTGTCAGGAGCATGATCACTGTTTGTTCTGCACCTACAGCTCCGCACATAAATGCTAGAGCATCCCAAAAGAGATGTTGTCGTACCTCATCCATCGAGTCTTCATTGAGACCGGCTTGAAGGTTTCCTTTCAGGGACCCAAGTTCTGTAGCGGCCTCAGAAGGGTCTTTCTCAAGTATTTCGATGAGCAGTCTGGAACTTAGTGGTCCGAAGTTACCTTGGTTCTTCCGGTATTTTCCTTGGGTCTGTCCATATCTGAAATGGTAGAAATGAAATGAGGTGCACCCGATACCAATACAGTTACAGTAAGATACTGAGGGAGATTTTCCGAAGTGATAGAGTAATAACTAAGCCAGATTATTAATCTGAAATACAGATTACAAAGGTGCAAAAGTAATGTACTTTGACTATTTGTCAACTGTGTTATAGCTAAGTCACAGTATTTTACTGTGCAATGTCGTAATTTTGCGCATTGGCAGGACAATAGTCTGCCAGTTTTCTATATTCCAGACTACACTTTGTCTTTCTTTTACAAATCGTGTTACCAATGGCAATCACCCCCATCTTGTTTTCTGTTTTTTTTTTTAAATCCCCTACCCCTTTGCCCCTCTCTTTTTGCAAACCTCCATTACTGCTCACAATAGATCCTATCCCCTCTCTGTCTCCCCCCTTTAACGCTAGTTCATTCCCCTCTCCCATCCTTTCCTGTCCATGTCCTATCGCAGCTTCGCCTGCCTGTACCTTGCCCCTCCCTCCACCCAATTCTCCCAAACATTTCCATTCCCCTCTCCCTCTCACATTCCCTCTCACAGCTCCCCACATCTCTCTTTCTCTACCATCCGTTTTCTGATCCATCATCTCATTCTGCATTTTCCTTTCCTCCTTCCCCTCCTTTCTTCCCTACTCCCCCTCACCACACCCCTATCTACTCTCCTTTTCGTCCCTCCCTTCCCCCTCTTCCCTCCCTTTCCCTCCCTTTCCCTCTTCTCTGTATTTCCTTATCCCCGATCCCTGCCACCCCTCTACTAACTCATCCATTCTGTATTTCCTCCGACATTGTCTCCACATTTCCTTCACTAGAACTCCTCCTTTCTCCCCTTCTCCACTTTCTCCCTACTCCACCCGTCTCTACTTCCCCTTCCTTCCCTCCTTGCCCCTTGTCCCCTCCCTTTCCCCTCGATTGTCCTCCCTGTATGCTACTCTCTCCTCCTCGCATCTCCCCCTATGTCTTTCCCATCACCTCTCTATATCTCCATCACCTCTCTCTCTCTCTCCCTTCTTAATAACAATAATAATAATAACTAGACATTTAATTCGTCAAGGGGACGAATTAGATGGTCTGTCTTCAATTCTTATGATCAGTGAAAGGTCAAAAAGAAAAAAAAGGGAAGACAAAAATTGTTGGAGACGCCCGGACTCGAACCAGGGTACTCGAAGTCGGAAGTCAAGTGCGTTTCCGATATATCAAAATATTTCCCATAGCGATTACACGTAAACGGAAAATGGAATTCTCAAATCCCACTTTGCAAGTGAAATATGAGCATAATCCCGGCATCTGATTGAAAAAAAAGGCACACGTATGATAGCTTATTGTCTCAGCTACAACATACTCGATGCTCAGCGAAAACGAAGCTAAAGCGACGGAGATATATTGCTCGCAAAAGACGGGAATGTAGAATCCAGTTTTGAGAAAAAGTCATGCCCCATAAAGAATACATGCAAAATGTGAAAAATTGACATGCCTCCTTCAATCGCAAAAATTCGCCATGATGCCTTTGTCAAAATGATAAGTCGTGGCAACTGCATTTGTAGAAAATTGTCTCAGCCAGAACATATCAAAATTGGAAGTAAATCGATCAACATTAACAAAGATACAATCAATTTTCCAAAATATGCTGACGTCATAATATGCAAATTGAAATTTTAAATTCGGAGGCCATTATGATGACGTCATGAGTTAATTGAGGGTCAAATGAGACATGAAATCATATCTCCAATTCATACTCTATCAAAATATGAAAAAAACTTGGGGTCACCTTGCATCCTAAAGCGCTACAATGGATTTTGTATAGGCATGTTTTTGCCCATGTATGCTATGTGTTACAAAAGCTCGCACTCACGGACATGTATCTTAATTGTATTTTCCTGCGGTACAGCGTATAGCAGGAAAATGTTGTATATGCGGATCCGTTTAATGATTACGTAATGGGAGTGGCGAGACGCCACGATCCCGCGAAGCGGGATGGTTTGAATAACTTAGGCAGGTGTAAGTTATTGTATTGAGAAGGAAAGGAATGTTCAGAAAGGCATAATAAGAGAGGGAAATGGGCGTGGTAGCCATTCTAGCTTTGTCAGACACTCGATACACGACACAAATTTCAAGTGGAAATTTTAATACAGAACAATAGTTTGGTGTTTGTTTTTGTAGGAGGTATAGAGATTCAAATAGATTATTTCTATTGGGACGATTTGCCATTAGGTTTTTTCAGAGCATTTGCCTTATTTAGTTTATCTCTGGTTTTTTCAACCTAGGGAATCGGTCCGGGCATGGGGCAAAAAGGCAAAGCCCCATGCAGGTTAGGGATCAAATTTAATTTTACAACGTCAGTATATACTTAGGTGTGAACGTTGACGATTGAGATTGAAATTATGCAATGTTAACAATATTTACATTTGATTTTTTTAAAATCAAGAATGAGATTAAAAATTGAAATCATTTTGATGTTCAAAATGATATAATAACAAAGATTGTTCATGATTGTTCAAAAAGATACAATTCGAATAAAAGCTGGCTTGGTCGGTCTGGCAGGCTTTCCCATAAAGGATGAGAATACACACGGACGCACATTCCGTTATTACAGGTCAGAAAAGGTGAACAAGTACTACTGGTGAAGTGCCAGACCATCGTCGTTGTGCATTGTGCAGCAACGAAGCATATACAACGTCTCGCGGCGTGACAGATCACTTTTTTTCTAACTTCTAACCAATCAGAAGGCCTCGTTTTTTTCTCCAGGAATTGCCGGTGGACATTAATGCGCCAAATGTGGTTCTCAAATTGCAAAAGATCTCAGTGGCGGATCTACGGGGGGATTTAGGGGGTTTCGACCCCCCCCCCCCCCTTGGGCTGCCAAGTGAAAATGTGATGTGCATAGAAAACGCCATCATGTGTCCAGACCCACACAGTATCCGCATTGTTATTAGGTCAAACCCCACTTAAACTCTTACTTGATTTAAAAATACGTTATCATGCACTGCTTTTTATGGTCTCCATTGTGTTAGTATATAGTTGCCAAGAAAAACATCACTTACGAGGGTTCAAAATAGCAAAAAAATTGCCTCGTCGCTACGCGGCTCGTGGACGAAGCTCGGCATCGTCATTGGGTCAAGCCCCCCCCCCCTCCCCTTTAACTGTTAATTGATTAAAAAGACGTTATCATGCACTGCTTTTTATGGTGTCCATTGTGTTAGTAGATGTCAGGAAAACATCACTTGCGGGGGTTCAAAATAGCAACAACAAAATCGCCTCGCCGCTTCTCTGCATCGTCATTGGGTCAACCCCTCCCCCCCCCCCCCTTAGCAAAAAGCTAGATCCGCCCCTGGATCCCTACTCTTGGAGGTGGTAGGAGAAAGCAATTTTACGTCATTATTATTACTCCAGGAAGTGCCTGAAAATGCGGTTAATATGTTGCTAAAATTGCAAATGCTTCCTACTCACGGAGGGGGTTCCGCACCAGCATTCCACCGTGTGACGACGAAATATACAGTAGCGAAGATGCGCGGGCGCGCGCGACGGATGACATTTTGTTCATTAGATTACTGTGGCCTACTAATAACCCAGATGACAAATAGAAACAGTATGATACTCTTGGGATTTTATAACCTGGATGATAAGAATATTATCTGGTACAGAAACTACTGGGCACTTTTAAGTAATTTTGTACAGTAGGTTAGCGTGTCGATATTTAGAATCAGGTGTGAAGTGAATATATTCATATTGATTCATATTCATATCATAAAAATCTTTTATTCACTTTTACCTATTCCCTTTCATAAATGCAAAGACTGATTCAAACCAATTTTTAACTCAACGTTATACAAATGTGTCGACTCGCTGAAAAAAGTACTGGATACAACATTTACAGGGCTTTTTATGTACAATTTCTACTAAACTGACTACTTTCTACTTTATTACATAACAAGTAAGCTAAGTGTCGCAATTAAAAATGTATATATATATATATATATATAGATTGACATATTTAGCTGTTACAGATATATTCATATTGCAACGCATTATCATGCGTAAGAGAATAGCGGTTCAAATAGGCCTATGGAAAGAAAACATGCAAAGCAGAAGAAAGGTAGTGTCTCCCCTTTCAGCAACGGTACTCACTCCTTCACGATTTTGTACTCTACCTAGTATTTTCCTGTGTCCGATGGTCCTCTCTTCTAGATCTAGCTGCGTTCTGATCCACGTGGTCCCCTCTTTGGCAGCGGCTTCTAGACCGAACGCCTCGCTGTCCGTCGTGTTGCCTGACATAGCGCTGGCGGAATGGGCCTCCTCTGGTACCGTCTCTTTCGCCTCTAACTTCCCTTCCAGCTCCCCTCTCTCCATCATTTCCCCCTTTTCTCTTAACTTCTGTGTCACTTCCTCCTCTTTGGAGGTTTTCTCCCCTAAATCTTTTAGCCATCGTGGCGTCTCCTCTTTCATGACTTCCTTCCCTCTTCTGTCTTCTCCACATGACGTTATCTCCACCTGTTACACCTTCTCTACCTTGTCCACTGGTCTCACCCCTTCGAAATTGTCTTCGTCCACCCCTCCCAAGGTCGTCTCCGTTGTCATCATCATCATCACCCCCATCTTTGTCAACTTCCAGATATCTAGAATATACAGAGAAACATACGATTAGGTTGTCTGAAGAAAATGAATGAGGTTTTATAACATGTTTGATTTTATTTGAATTGAATTAATCTATAAATTATATCTTTTCGAACCTACATACTCATGCCCATTAATGTGCCATTGACACTACCTTTTGTTGGCAGATGATCAACATACAATAATAGGAGGGGCTACAGCCAGAGGTGCCCCCCCCCCCACTTTTTCAGATACTCCAAAATTGCCCCTTTTTACTTAGGAAAAGTGCCCCTTTTATTTTGTAAGAAGTGCCCCTTTTACTTTGACAAGTGCCCCTTTTACTTTGACAAGTGCCCCTTTTACTTTGACAAGTGCCCCTATTACTTAATAAAAGTGCCCCTTCCACTTTTTCACCTCCGACGAGTGCCCTTTTTATTTTTGACACGTGCCCCTTTTCCATCGACATGTTCCCATTTTCCTTTGCAATAAGTGTCCATTTTCCATTCTCATAAATCTTACAATTATCTTGAATAAGTGCCCTTTTTAATCTCTAGTAAGTGCCTCTTTTCAGGTACGAGAAGTGCCCCTTTTCACCTTTGATAAGTGCCCCCTTCACCTCTGATAATTGCCCTTTTCAAAACTGAGAGGTGCTCCTTTTACTTTGACAACTGCCCTTTTTTTCCTTTGTAAGAAGTGCCCCTTCTCCTTTTAATAACTACCCTTTTTTTAAACTCGGATGAGCACACCTTTCATTTTAACATGTGCCTCTTTTATTTTTTAATAAGTGCCCCTTTTCCTTATGATAAGTGCCCCATTAAAAAGAGAGAGCTCCTTCCCCTTCTCATAACTACCCCTCTCCCTTTCTAATAAGTGCCCCTTTTCCTTATGATAAGTGCCCCCATTAAAAAGAAAGAGCTCCTTCCCCTTCTCATAACTGCCCTTTTAAAAATCTGAACGGTGCCCCCCTTTCATTCAATAAATGCACATTTTTCCTTTATTACAAGTGCCCCTTTTACATTTTCATAAGTGCCCCTTTTCATATCTGGTCAGTGCCCCGTTTCACCTCTGATAATTCCCCTTTTCACCTCTGATAATTCCCCTTTTAATAATGATACGTGCCCCTTTTCCTTTCTAATAAGGGACCTATCCCCTTTTCACCTCTTATAAATGCCCCTATCAAAATCTGATGGGTGCCCCTTTTCCGTCAACAAATGCCTATTTCCCATTTTCGTAAACGCCTTTTTTTCATCACTGGTGAGTGCCTCTTTTCAGGTGAAAAAATGCCTCATTTTCACCTCTTATAATTATCCTTTGTACTTTGACACGTGCTCCTTTTCTTTTCTAATATGTGTCTTATC